CCTGCTGGGTCTTGATGTCCCTCGTGCTGAGTTGACACCGAGGCAAAACTGCTGCAGGGCAATATGAGATGCCGGCAATAAACGCTCGTGCTGGCTCGGCCTTCGCGGAAGGCTGCGTGTGGCGGTCGAAGTCGTGATGCGGTGGCCGCTGCGTGCTCAATCGTTGCTGGGCGACGTGCTGCGAGCTTCCCGTGGACGGACGCCGAGTCCCAAAGAGCGGCGTAGCTATGGAGGAGCGCCGGCGCTTGCTTGCCCTCCGCACGAACTACATTTTCATCTTGCACGTGATATTCCCATCCTCAACGACATTTCCTCGCTCGACCTCCATAAAGTGGCACAACTATTGAGTGTGCAGGCGGTGCAACTGTACGAGGGCCCTGTGAGCCGCAGGTTGCCCAGGCACTTGGCAGGGAAGACAGATAAAAATTGGACAGGGATAGGCAACGTATTAACCCTTTCCAATCAGTTTTTTCCTTCCGATTCCAAATGGATTCGGAAGAAAATTTAAAATTAAATAACTTCATTGGTACCGAGGCTCCCACAAAACCATGCGGGAGGGCGTGTGGCACAGTTTGGCACCAGTTATCGCAGAGTGCAGTCGTTTCGCTGCAGTTCTCCGCAGTGAGTACAATGTCTTTAAAAACAGTAGCGCTATGCCTCTAAAAATAAACTTCATGCTAACAGCTCGCGCATTCCGAGATTCAGCGGTGAACGTGGACCCACCCTCCAAGACGTCTCTGAACGGGAAATGTTTCATTGCACCGGGGCCGACGCGAGCCCCCGCTGCACCACCGGTTCCACAATGGTCGAATGTCGCGTCCCTCGGCGACGTGGGTCGCGTGCACTCGCGTAGACGCCAGAAACATTCATTGTTGATGCGCAGTTTTACGGGAGCCGCTCGCGTGCCTCGTGCAAATGTTTGGGTCTAAGTGTCGTGTGTTAACTTAGGCACACACTTGTACTTGAAGGCAACACGTTTAATTAACACAATGGGTAACTCTAACAGGATAACAGCATAGGGTGGTGACCACCACGACTAACTAAACTGACACTCGTGGAGAGACAATTGTATATTCGGACCAGGACAGCTAGCTGGCTGTCTGGTCCACGCGTGAAGACCGGAGACCGAGGACCGAGGATGGCGACTTCATTCCCAGAGTTGAACGCCCCGATCCCTCTCGGGATCCCGCTTTTACTCCCCTGGCATGGCCGGCTCTGCCCATGGACATGCCCCCCCTTCTACAACCCTCGTGGGGACTCTGGATCCCCACCACGTGATCCTCTCACCCCCGACTGGGGGCCCCACTGCCCCCCCTCGTCCGGTCACGTGCCCTCCCGGGTTCATCTGCTGTCACGTCCTCACACGACCCCCTTCTCAGCGACAGTACCACCCCTCACTCGGCATTGTCTCTACACCGCAGTGAACCCCTCGAGGCCACTACATTAATGTAGTGAGTTCAACTGAGTCGCAGATGTTGTCTTGGGAGCAACACTATTTATTAAGCAACTTCAACATAACATCACACAATGGACACTCGGGTATCGAATACCCATCTAGCCACGCTATGGCAGAACTAGACACGGTTCGCTATCCTGGCCCGGACCACAAGCTGGGTCCCGGACCGCATGGCTAGAGGCTTCTTCTCCCTGACGTGGATCTTCGTAACACCGGCACACGAAAAACGCCGAGCTCCTCACGGGGCCCTCGTTATATCCCCCTAGGCTGGGGCTGGCTCCGCCCTTCGCCCCGCCCACCTTCCAGATCTTTCGAGCTCTTTCTTGAAGGCTCCCAAGAGCTCTTTTATACCACGTGACCGCCCAGCGGCCCCCGTTCACCGGTGGCCCCCCTCCAATATCATCCGGTCGCGTGTCAGCAGGTCAACCAGCGTATCATGCCCCAACGTAACCTTGGCTGGCTGACGCTCCCTCTCGCTCCCTCACCGGGAGCCCGCACCGCACGCTGCTCGCGGTGCCTCCGCGCTGACCAGCGCTCACCCAAGCCCCACCAGGGCTGGTACTACGCCCAGTAAGCGGGCTACACGTAATGCCAACACATTATCCGCCATGGCTTCGTAAGCCCGGCACCACTCAGTGACAATCACAGTCACTACATGAGTATAAATACTTCAGGGAAATCGTTAATAATGAGAAACCACTCTGGCGACAAGTTCATATTGCCAGCGGAGGAAGTTACGAAGGGAAATGTCGGTCATAATGACTGAGGAAGCCCTTGCGTGGAGAAGGGTAAAACGTTGAGCAACAGAGGCCTCCATTGGGATCGGATGGAAGGGAAGGAATCTGCCAAACTTCTCCAATGTTTACTTTTCAAACCCATACGCTTACTTCTCTTTAGTTATTTACACTTTTAAAAATTACCCTTTGTATAGCATTTGAAATGTAAACAGGTACACTATATATGCAGCACGTACGTTTATTTATTTATTTTCACGACTCACCATTTATAGCGTGTGAATGCTGCTGTCTTTGCCTGCGACTGAATTTCAGTAGCGAGTGGTGGTCAAATGATTTGGTTATTTTGGGAGGTGTCTTAGTGGCATTTCAGACCGGCCGGGTTGCTCGGTGGTAGAGCGAATGTCTCGCAATTGGAAGGTTGCAGGTTCAACTCCTTGTTGGGGAATTGACTAGCCTAAACATCTTTCCTGGGTCGATAAAATCAATCCACCCACCTTTTGGGGAAGCGACCAGTGGTTGTCTTGTAGGTTGACTCACCCCCACCATAGGAATGTGGAATTTCCACCACTGGTTCAAGGCCGTGAATTTTAGATGAGCACCAGTGGACTCGATGCTCTCTAAGCTGGGAAATCACTTGGGCTGAAGACGTGCAATCCCGCGTGGGAGTCGCGCCGCGTGCCGCCCACACGCACCGGGTATAAAACGTGGGTAATTAACTATGCAACGAGCGCCGTTGACGCATCTCCGTGCGGCACCGAGCGTATTCAGCAGACCGCTGTGACAACGGTTGTCCAAAGTGTTCTAATATTACACAGCCGGAAATGAATAATAAATAATATCTCCCCGGTCAGATATGTTTTTGAAGCGTGTTGTCACAGCAGAGAGTGCGCACTGATTAAACACTTCTTCAGGCACGTTGGTAATCGTCGTGTACTTACCGTCGATGACGTGCGCTTCACAAACGTGGTCATTAGCAATGAACACGCAAACACAAAAAAACTGAAGAGTGCGCAGAGAAGCGTGGAGAGATACACAAGAAATGGCCGACAGCTTGGCGAGGCCTTCATCCAGCAGTGGATTGTTCATGGCGGGTGTCGATGAATTGGACATGGGCATGCTTATTATCAGCGGCTATATAATCACTCCATTTCCTCAGAGGAAGTTCTCTCGAATGCATTCTACGCCTTCTCTGCTGCTCCATCATCGTCGTTCTCGATCATCGGCCAATCATCCCTTGTGGCGACTAAATTAAGTACAGCACTTATAATCTTCTAGTTTTTTTTTACAAAATGAATCGCTTGGCACCACTCGTGAATGTCCTGGTGTGATTGGCGCGTGCGGCGGCATGGGCGCTGCGCTGAGGATGTTGGGGATGAGCGGCGGCAATGAAAGTCGCGGCACCGGCAGCGCCGGCGCGTTCCTCCCTCCATCAGGCCGAGCGAGAGGCCTCGTGACGTCTCTACATTTCATCCTCCACTTGGTTTTTCGCGAATGGGCGACACCAGGGCTCGCCACTGCGCTTGCCTTAAGAGCCTTCCGTGAATTGCTTTCAAAAGTCAAATATAAACGACACAAGCTTTAGATTGTCACTCATCCCGATTTGATAAATTCATCTAAACGAGGGAAACCATCTGGCAGGAGACGTAGAGAACATCTCTTTTGATTCCCTCTTTAGTATGCGTAAACGGCACGTTTCTGTTCAGCATTCAGCACTCGCCAAACATCTCAAGTATGACTCTCCCGAGTCTTGAGACTAAATCGGGCTCTGGTAGCCCGGCTCTTTGCCTGCATCGCGAGTCAAGTACGTTGCCGGACACAGACCGAGGACAACATCCTGATGTTCTCAAAAGGTTTTGGGGGCATACACTGGAACTACGGCCTTTCTGAATCTACTGCAACCGTCCCAGCCAAACCAGGACGTTGGGCAGATTTAACATAACTTGGTCTGGAAACCAACTTCAGGTCCGGGCATGAGTGCTGCTGGTGTGCGCCTGGGGTGACCTGACCCTTCCTACTGCTGCTTCTTCTGTTGCTTTTGCTGATGCCGCTCATGCTCCTCTTGCTGCTGCTGCGGCTGCTGATGGTCGGTGTTACTGCTGATGCCGCCGATGCTTCTGAGGCAGAGTGCCTTGCTGCATTGACCATGCCATGCGTCATTTTCCAAGCGCAGTAAAACCCCCACAGGTTTTACTGCTCATCTCAGCGGCCGAGCGCAGTGCATCAGAATTATAGCGCAAGGCCACGGACGCGTCCCAAGCTTTTAAATTGCATTGTTTTGTATGCATTTTTATTACCTATTGGCTTTTTATGTTACGTTTAAAGCACCAAATCCTTTTCAATTACGGTATTTCATTAAAAACCTGAATAATTGGCACGTGGCCTTGTCCCCGGCAATGATTGGTGGTGGCCTGTGTGCCACCGCAACGCGTGCAACTCGAGAATGGTCAAAAACGGCCGTGGCAAGGTTAAGTTAAACTGACGTGCGAAGGTCTGCCTTGAGTTTGATCGGTAAGCTCACTAAACAATGCTGCTACAAATCCAAACATACCGCTCGGGCTATTATTATTTAAAAACTATTACAGTGGAAGCTGGATATAATGACACCTTATAGAAACACAGTTATCAGATTAGCAACACAACTTATGATGCGAGCGTCCAGCAAGCGAGCAATTGCAGAGCTCCGTCTTTACGTTTGCCGTGTAAAATGGACGCACGCACATCTCACGCGAACGCGCGCGCACGCACGTACACACGGCATGCACAGCGGCTCCTCTCTCGCGCCGACCGTCGCGCCCCGCTCGTTGCAGACGACAGCCACGCGGGGCTCTCCGACTCGGGCATCCTGCTCGACCCGGGGAGCCACAGCCTCCCGCCCAGCGTCACGTCGAGCGCGCACACGCTGCCGCACGCGGCGCGCGCCGGGCGCCACGCACCGGGCCCCGAGTCCGCCTACCAAACCGGGAGCCGCGGCAAGGAGCCGGCGTACCGGGGGCCGCAGGTCTCCGGCGAGGCCTCGTACCGCGCGGGGACCGCGCCGGGCGACGCGGCCTACCACGCCGGTGGCCGGGGCCCGGACCCGGCGGCGTACCGGGCGCCGCCGCCGCCCGCCAACGACGCCGCGTACCGCTCGGGGCAGGCGGCCAACGAGGCGGCCTATCGCACCGCGGGCCAGCAGCAGGGCCCGGAGGGGAGCTACCACGCGGGCGGGCGTGCCAAAGATGCCGGCTACCGCCTTGGGCCAGCGCCGGTGCCTGCCGGCGAGCTGATGTACCCGCCGGCGCAGATGCGCACGGCGATCCGCGTGGCCGACTTACTGCAGCACATGAACCAGATGAAGACGACGGAGGGCTGCGGCTTCAAGGAGGAGTACGAGGTCAGAGCCCCGGTGTTTGCATTCTTGTTCTTGCTCGCTCGCCGTGTAACCTTTTTCCCCGTACTCAGAGTCTAATAGGACTTTCATTTGCCTTTGGCGGGCAGCCACATTCACACAGCCACGCCATCACTTCTGTCACTGCCAGAAGGCTCGTTCAGTGACAGAAGTGGCTGAGCTGCTAATGCCCAAGTGTGATCACAGAAGTGACTGTGTGTGTGTGTGTCTCACATGGGTGCCACGATAGCTTTGATGGTTTGTCCGCTGTCGCCACCTGTCCTGGTGTTCCCAAGATCGTATTAAATGTCCAGTTTCTTGTCAATTGCTTAACAACATACCACTCAAGACAATACATTTACATTATCACCATATTATCTAAACTATAAGACGCTCGAAAGTAAGACATACCCCAAGCCTGTGCCCCGGTGTCAATAAAGCGGTACAAATCTGGTCACACACAGCAACCGAATAATGAGACGCATGGGAGACGGGCAGGGGCGGAGCCAGGATTTCAGGCTGGGGTGACATTCAACAAATTTTTATTTCAAGAATGATTAGAGAGTCAGGCTGTTGAACTAGGCGCCATCGGTTGGCGACACGCTCTGACAATGCAGTTGCACGGAGTCCGCCAGACCGAGTGTCGTACACTTATACGCAGAATGTCACCCCTGTCACCCCCCTGGCTCCTCCCCTGGAGACGGGTGCGTCATAATCCGGACGATATGGTCATTCTTCCGGTCCCGTGAGATGTTCGTGTAGCGTTTTGTTTTGGCACTGTGGCGAGGGCGACCGTCCTCCGTGTGCTCCCCCCGCGTTTTGAGCGGCGCCCCGTTAACGCGAGGCCGTGGTGCGTTTGCGGCGTCACCGCAGAGCTTCCTGGACGGGCAGTCGGCGCCCTGGCAGGTTGCCAAGAAGGAGGAGAACCGGGGCAAGAACCGCTACGGCAACATCATCGCCTGTGAGTCCCGGCTGGTGGCGCCGGGAACCCACCGGAGGCCACCCAATGCACTGCTCAGCAGCTGCTTTGTCATTCGTTTACTGAATGGCAACAACAACGACGACGACGGCAAAGTGGCCGGCTCTTATATTAATTAAAACATGAGAAAGTGCACGTGGGTGTGATGCATTTCCACGTGGCTTAGTTGCAAAGTTGATTAGTTTGCGGTAATTGTTCTGGGCCGTCCTACCGCGAGAGGCCGCACGCCATTCCATCATCTGCTGGAATGGCGTGTGGCCTCTCACGTTCATTATAATAATAATGCGATCCCCACAATGTGGCCGCTGAGCATCGTATCGGCCCAGGTATAATTTCCTCCTTTAAAAATTGAATCCTTGAGGGCGATGGGATTGCCAGCGGAGAGACCCTGCGCATCGCTCTCAATCTTCCCAGCTTCCACATCTCACGATGGCGATGCACACGCCTGGTGCCCAGCATTTGTGAGCCAAGGATTAGTGGATCACGTACACATTTGTGAAACTCTCAAACCCCTTGGCCAGGAGATGGGAGTGGGTTCATGATCCCATCTGCTCCCCGTTCAATTCCAGGCTCTTCTCCTCCGCCTATCACTGACTGTCCTTTTATCTTTATAAAATAAATTAATAAATGTAACTCCTTTCCCCAGAGCGGTCATGTCCCACTGCGTGGAACAGCACCTTGAGATCTGCTTGCATTGAGACGGTATATAAATACAAATTGTATTGCCATTGTAAACCCTTGCATGTGTGGGTTTTCTCTGGGTAATCGAGTTTCCTCCCACACAGAACACTCCTCAAAAATTGCATTGGCCAAACATCCGACTGCAGGGCCCTCTTGAAGGGTCTAGAGAGTCACCGAAGCGTGCCTGGATAAATGACTTGCATTACCTTGGATATATCAATGACGCCATGACCCCTCCCCCGTGCTTCTCTTCACTCCCCCAGACGACCACTCCAGGGTGTTGCTGCAGCCCTTGGATGCCAATCCTCACTCCGACTACATCAACGCCAACTTCATCGACGCAAGTTCCTTTCACGTCACGGGCAGCTCACGCGCGTAGAAGACGCGGGAACTGTGACGCGCGCGCGAATCGTTAGCTTGGAAATAGATTGCATCGTCACAGCCCTAACGCCCAGGAGACCCACTGGCATGTTTAACGTCAGTCCCGCTCAAATATTCCTGGAGGCCCGGAGATAGAGGCCCAGGTCGGAATGGCATGCGGGGCCAGCCGCTAATTCAAAGCGGAAAAAAACCATCCCCTCTTTTGTGTGAGGCCTTGGGCAAGTTGCCCATTAAACCTCCAACCTCTCTCGAGGTGACCCTGTGTAACAAACCAAACGACGACGATGATGAAGAGGATATGTTTAGACGATAGCAATATTATCTGAATTTGTATTCCGAGTTAGCCGTAGATTTGTTTTGAATTGTTGTTGACGTAGTACGTTGTAAGGACACGAGTACATCCCTGTGTTCACAACACGCTTGGATAACAGTGTCTTCGCTCATGTAAATCAAATGAAGTGCAACAAATAAACACGAAATGTACATTCCCGCTGAACACCAATTAATACGAATCATGCACGCTTACAAATTCGACTCGTAATTATAAAAGAATTCGCATTTCTCGGAAACAAAGTCATGTAATGACGCGCCAGATAAATTAAATTCCCGTTGAATGCGTGTGTGCACGCGCGTTCTCAAATTTATAAAAAGATCGTAGCGACGACGTCGCATATCCAATTATGTGGATGCTGCCTCGACCGCACTTGCGCCGAGATGCGGGCTCGACTCCCTCCTTCCCCTAAAGCGCCACTTGCCCCCTGAGGCTGCTGTGGGGTGCGCGGGACGCATGTTCCCGCTTTCTCCATTCTCGCTGGCTCGATTCAACTCACAAAAATAATAATAAACCACAATGGTAGCGCTCCTACATGGGAACAAGCGTTCGTGACACTGATGTACGCCGCAGCCGTTTCTGCCTAATCGCTGAACTCTGCTTTATTGTCGCTTCCGCGGGTATCACAATTTGCTTACGTTAAAAAACAGACAAGTAAGCATGTAACCATTATGGTTCGGCACCTTGTGGTGTCAGCGCTGCTAATTGCCCGCGTCTCCCCCCGTGCTGCCGCGTGGGTGCTGGGCGGGATGCTCGTTGCTCGCTCACGCTGCTGCCTCAGTGCTGACTGTGAGGTCTCCGTTTGTCTCTGTTCAGGGCTACCACAGGCCGCGGCAGTACGTCGCAACGCAAGGTACGCGGAAATGATGGCGGCACGAGCCCAGGGTTTTCTCTGCACTTTCTCTTGTTCTTGTTGTCGTCGCCCAGTAACTCCCCACTGCCGGGCGAAGGCCTCCCCAATTCTCTCCCCAATCCACCCTGTCCGGTCGTGACCTCCGACCTCTGTGATGTTGTCTTGCTGCTGCCGCCACTGCCGCCGCTGTTGCCGCTATCTCCTTCCTCTTCTCCTCCCTTCTCTTAGTCTCTGCTCCAACGGAGTTCTTTTAATTTCTTATCTCTCGTCGGCTGCTCTCATAACTAGTGCTGCCCAATTCCACTTGATTTCCGTTGCTTTATCAGCCGCATCATCATCATCATCGGTGAGCCCCGTTCTTTTCATTCTATCTTAATTTCTTAAACTATCTAATTGACTACCTCCTCAAAGTATTTTTTCCATAAATCTTGGGAAAACATGGAGATGTTATTGCAACTGTGAAGTGTTGGGAATCTATACAGCACTTAGCTGTGTTGTGCAATGTTGGACTTGGGCCTTGGAGTGTCAGAAGGCCCGTGTTGTATGCTGCACCGTGCCACGACAAGCAATATGGCGGTCATGAGTGGCACGGCACCTGGGTGTTGTGGTACGAGGTTAACAGTGGCACAGGCGTCTCACGGCAGATGCGTGGCAATCTTCTTCATCGATGGACTATTGAGATTATCCCACGGTGGGACTGCGATCACCAATCTCAAACCACGGGCCGCAGAGTAGTAACGCTACCACCTGCCTCCATCATTTCGCCGGCAGATTTTCAGATATTCACCTGAAGCCATCCACTGGCTGGCTTGTCATCCCTGACATGGACGTGCACTCATATTGCTGATCATCTTTCCACCCGTACTGAAACAGTGGCACAAAGCTTGCCCTACCTTGGGATCGAGGTCACAACAGAGGATTTCCGATTCCCGATCCCCATTCTCCCGTCGCTCCTTCGCCCCCCTCCCCTTGCTCCCCTCCCCAACCTGACAAAAGCCTCGGTCTTTTCACCGCCTATTAACTCGGTCCGTATTTCGGCACACACCGACATAACAAAATGTGTACATTAGGCCGCGGCAAATAACAATTTGCATAATTCGCAGTGCGTGGGTGCGGGGTGGGGACACAATAGAAATCGTTTATAATGAACTGAAAGCTTATCCTCCGTTCCACTCGGTTATAATGAGGTTCTGCCGCAGAGCAGTGCCCTCTCTTAGCAGTCAGGCGGCGTATGCGCGCGGGGTAATTGTATTAAAAGTACCCTGGGCTCCGTTCCCCAACGCTTGCTGAGAGGCGCGGTGTACATAGCAGGCAGCAGCAGCAGCAGCGCTGTAAATTAATGGCCCATTACCTCGTGCTTAATAAACCCCCGACGCGGCTGAAGGCTTCGCGGGCCGCGAGCTCCGGGCGCCGCGCAGGGCAGCGAGCGGCGGTTTTCTCCTCCTCCTCCTCGTCGTCGTCGTTGTTGATGCCACCGCTGCCCCGCGTGTGTTCGTCGTAGAGATTTTGATGAGTGATCAATACCCCATTTTACTTTCGTTTTTGTGTCGTCTGAGATTTATGGCCGTATTGTTCTTGTTAAAAATATAAATAGTAAGTTATTTTAGAAAGGCTTTTTTTTTTTTATTCCGGCATAATTCGAATCCGCTTTGCAAAAAAAATCCGTTTGTCACCCCCCCCCGCCCCCCACTGCGCGTGCTTCCAGATGTATTCAATTAAATAATGGGCGAAGTTCCGTGCACAAATGAGTGTATTTTATGAAATATAATGGCCTGACATTTTACTCACAAATTGTGGGCGGTTGGCATTCGTGCTGCGAATTAATGATTTTTTTACTTTAATTCTATAAAAGGTAGTGACGTACGTCGTGCAACTTGTGATGAGATGACTAACAATGCTGCCGTAATGCGCATTCAACATTTGCAATTTTCATCATACCTCCGTAATGAATGTAATGTTCGTGCGTTCTTTCATTTTCAGCGATTGCTTTTACATTTGTTCCATTGTTTTGAGACAATCCACTGGCTGTGGGTGCAATTTTATTTATTTTTAAATGCATTGTTCCCATTTTTTTTATCCCCAAATAAAAGTATATTTTAGAGCAGCTATCATTCACGCGGAATTTTTGGAGAGTGTATCTTATCAGCAGCTTTGGTTCAATACAAGAAAACTCTGGATTGGTTTTGGCATCCAGTGTCTCATCAGCGGTGTCAGGCTTGCGTCAACCAATGCTGGTGAATGGCCCAAACTTTCTAGGTAAGGATGAATTTCGGAGCCTTCTTTTTTATGTCATTCTAAATTCTTTGAAAAGCCTCTTTAATTGGCACTTTAGTCTGTTTTTAGCCAAAGCAATACTATGTATGTCCAATGAAATCCACTTAATGCACATGACAGTGCCCATACAATGAGGGAAAAAAGTATTTGATCCGCTGCTGATTTTGTACGTTTGCCCACTAACAAAGAACTGATCAGTCTATAATTTTAATGGTAGGGTTATTTGAACAGTGAGAGACAGAATAACAACAAAAAATCCAGAAAAACGCATGTCAAAAATGTTATAAATTGATTTGCATTTTAATGAGGGAAATAAGTATTTGACCCCCTCTCAATCAGAAAGATTTCTGGCTCCCAGGTGTCTTTTATACAGGCAACGAGCTGAGATTAGGAGCACACTCTTAAAGGGAGTGCTCCTACTCTCAGCTTGTTACCTGTATGAAAGACACCTGTCCACAGAAGCAATCAATCAATCAGATTCCAAACTCTCCACCATGGCCAAGACCAAAGAGCTCTCCAAGGATGTCAGGGAGAAGATTGTAGACTTACACAAGGCTGGAATGGGCTTCAAGACCATTGCCAAGCAGCTTGGTTGGTGTGATTATTCGCAAATGGAAGAAACACAAAAGAACTGTCAATCTCCCTCGGCCTGGGGCTCCATGCAAGATCTCACCTCGTGGAGTTGCAATGATCATGAGAACGGTGAGGAATCAGCCCAGAACTACACAGGAGGATCTTGTCAATGATCTCAAGGCAGCTGGGACCATAGTCACCAAGAAAACAATTGGTAACATAGTACGCCGTGAAGGACTGAAATCCTGCAGCGCCCGCAAGGTCCCCCTGCTCAAGAAAGCACATATACATGCCCGTCTGAAGTTTTGCCAATGAACATCTGAATGATTTAGAGGACAACTGGGTGAAAGTGTTGTGGTTAGATGAGACGAAAATGGAGCTCTTTGAGATCAACTCAACTCGCCGCGCTTGGAGGAGGAATTCTGCCTATGACCCCAAGAACACCATCCCCACCGTCAACATGGAGGTGGAAACATTATGCTTTGGGGGTGTTTTTCTGCTAAGGGGACAGGACAACTTCACCGCATCAAAGGGACAATGGACGGGGCCATGTACCGTCAAATCTTGGGTGAGAACCTCCTTCCCTCAGCCAGGGCATTGAAAATGGGTCGTGGATGGGTATTCCAGCATGACAATGACCCAAAACACACGGCCAAGGCAACAAAGGAGTGGCTCAAGGAGAAGCACATTAAGGTTCTGGAGTGGCCTAGCCAGTCTCCAGACCTTAATCCCATAGAAAATCTATGGAGGGAGCTGAAGGTTCGAGTTGCCAAACGTCAGCCTCGAAACCTTAATGACTTGGAGAAGATATGCAAAGAGGAGTGGGACAAAATCCCTCCTGAGATATGTGAAAACCTGGTGGCCAACTACAAGAAACGTCTGACCTCTGTGATTGCCAACAAGGGTTTTGCCACCAAGTACTAAGTCATGTTTTGCAGAGGGGTCAAATGCTTATTTCCCGCATTAAAATGCAAATCAATTCATAACATTTTTGACATGCGTTTTTCTGGATTTTTGTTGTTGTTATTCTGTCTCTCACTGTTCAAATAAACCTACCATTATAATAATAGACTGATCATTTTTTTGTCAGTGGGCAAACGTACAAAATCAGCAGGAGATCAAATACTTTTTTTCCCTCACTGTAGTACCAAAGGAAAAGGCAAAAATAAACATTTAATGAGGACATCTCCGACTTTTATCCAAACATCAACAAATGAGAGCAAACCAGCAGAGCGGAGATGAGTGTTGTGAGTTGTCCTCTGATGGTGTCTTGGATTTCCCACTCAATGCCGCTCGACTGCAATAGTCAGCACACTGTGACATGCAATCCAGAGGGCACCGGTTCAATTCTATCTCTCGGCTCGCCACTTGAAACAACGGGGCAGGTGATTAAATCATCCTGCCACCTCTGTTCAGCAGCAGCATAAATGAGTGCAACACAGTGAGTTGATGGGCAAGCCCCGTGTAGTGGGGCCTGTCCACTACGAGGCCAAATACGCTCGAGAGGGCCTTTTTGTAAGGCTTGCTCTCGTGGTGGGTTTGATCCCAATGAACATTTGCCCAAGGTACACATTCTGCAGCTCCTGTGTCCTCTATTCATGTAATAATTAGTCTATTCAACGAGCGAACAAGATGCTCGTATGTGCCTTTGTTTCGCTCGTACTTTTCGTGAGCCCACCTTGATATCCTTCTTTGTTTGCTTCGTTGCATTGCAATTACATGTTTCAATTACACTCTGTGACAAAAGATATTCGTTGGCATCTTCCGCAATTAAAAGTGCACACGCACATTTGTGCAACAATTTTGACAAAGTATTCTTTTGACCAGAGCATCCGGATAAACAAAGCTCGAAGTGGAGTGGGCTTCCGTGCACAGAGCCAACTTGACGGAGCGGCTCGTAATCGCAAACAATGGTGCCTCGCCGCGCGTCGGCCCCCTCGTTCAAATCGGATGACGTTGGCGCTTTTGAAAAAAATAAGTTAGCGAAGGTGATGGAAGTGCACGATGTAAAGGGGTTCATGGAAACAATACCGTCGCTAATGTAACGGGGATCGAGCAGAAATTAATAATACATTTTCGGCGGTGAGTATCGCACACGCTCACTTCTAATTTGTGTGCATCCAGGGGGTGGGGAATCAGCGGTGCGGTGTTAGTGCGCTGACAGCGCTGTGCCGGCGGCGCTGTGCCGGCGGCTCCTGTCTGGCTCTCGCCCTCCCTCTCCCGCGCCGTGGTCCCGGTGATGCCGGAGAAAAGCCGCCTCAAAGCTCCTGGGAGTAGCAAATGGCGCCCGATACACCGAAACGCATAGCCGCCGAAAGTGTTGCCACCTCTGAGATACAATCTGGGACGTATAGCGCAAGGACAAGGATTTATCGTGGTATCCTGCATGTAAATGCATTGTCTCCATCGGTGGATTGTTACGCAACTGACAAAAAACAAGATTTACAATAATCCCGGGAAGACTTATAGATATCCCAGCAACAGCTGCTACCTCAAACAGTGGAAGTCCCTGGGAAAACCAAGCCAAGGGGCAACCCCAGCAGCCGACGCGAAATTAATGGACGAAATGAGTGTTTTGTTTGTCAGCTTAACCTCGACTATTTGCCACGGATTCTGGTCTCCGAGCTTGCTGAAGTAGAACTAAATGTGGATACAAAGGTGCGAGAGAGAGTGTCTGTGTCACAGAGATCACTCACAGCACTTAGCCCGACAGTGAACAAGGCGACAACAAAAGGGGTCCCTTCTCTCTGTGTGTGTGGGGCTCGAGATGCAGCAGCCTCTGTAGCCTCAGAGAGGTTGGGGGGGGGGGGGGGTTAGCCTCGATTTAAAAAGGCTCAACCCCTCCTTTTAATTCTTATAGCCAAGTCCAACATCGTTGGCGTAGAAGTTCAGTACGACGACGCGGTGGGCGTCACAGCGGTCCCTCGTCCGCATGGGTCGCCTAGCGGAACGCACGGTAGACGGACGCATGGAGCGGCGTTACTCGCTCGCAATTCCTTCAACCTTGATTTTTTTTATATTGCCCTACTTTAAAAACGGTCCCTGCGTGAGGTTGGCTGGTTGGGCTCGGACAAGTTTGTTAAGACCGCGACGAGACGACTGCCACTGCTGCCCATGAAAGACCAAAGCGTGGCTGACCGTGACAAATGCGAAATCAACGGGGGGCGGCATGAAGATGAGAGGCTGCAGTGCGCCGAGGAAGACCAAACATGGCAATTAGCTACATATGTGTGCAAGATGATTTACTGAGCTCATTGATTGTCTGAGCTGATTATAGCGTGGGATAAGCATTTATTTGCACGCTCCTCCACCAGCGTTTGACAACGAAGAGCACGTGACTGAATGTTTGGCTGCGTTGGTCGGCGACGCGAAGAGAGCGACCGAGAAGCGACGAGAACTCCACCGACTGCCGTCCACGAGATAAATAAAATCCAAGATGGTGACTAAATTTACATTCTTGGTTAAAAAATCAAATAACTGAACGAAAAAAATAGCAACACCACCTCCCTCTCCGGATCAGAGAGCAAACATTGAAATCTGCCGTTGCAAGACACTCATGCGGGGGTCCCTGCGGAGATTACACAACGGCATCTGAACGGCTGCGGCTGCCCGAGTGGCTGGGACGTTTTAGTGGCTCTGGCAGGAAATTGTTAAGCCCTCTGCCAAGGGTGACGTGAGGTTTATCATCGTTGCACAACCAGTTATTACAATAATAAATAGCTCTGCAGTTTCTCCTCTCTCCTGAGTGAGAGACATATTACCCTGCCGCCTCTGTGTGCGTGTGTGCGTTTGTGTGTACGTGGGGAGCGGTGGCGCAGTGGTTAACGCACTGCACTGTGAACCCAGCAGCCCGACTGTGATTCCATGCCACCGCTAACAAGAGATTGGTATGGATCTCTCCCAGGTTGACTCAGTCTTTAATCAGTACCTGGTGTGGTGAGTAAACGTCAGCACTGGGGAGACAGTTGGGCATGGTAATGGCCACACCAACTCAAATGGATACTGTGACAACCTTAACAGGTGCTTGCTGACAGCACTTGCCTCAACATTTGTTAAAGGCGAAATGGGGATATTTGTGTTTTGTGTATGTATACACAAAGTAGGTGTTTGAACAATGGATTCTACACGGTAATCTATTGCTAGCCATTCGTTTCTGTGGCAAGTGCTGCCTGAACTTGTCCTTGACTTCTCCTAGGTTGACTCAGCCTTAAATGAGTACAAACATATACTGGAGATAGCAAAGCAAAGATTGTTGAGCCGGATATACCACCCCTATTTCTTGCCATGCAAGCCTTAATAGGCACTCGCTAACAGCATATGCAGTTAGACCCAAGGCAAACAGAAGGATAGCAGTAATTGTCTTTTACACATATAGTATGTATGTGGTCGGGGTGTATGTGTGACACTTAAATAGCAATAATTTGAAAATCAAATTACAGATCGCACGACAATATTTTATCAGTTCACTCGCGGAATGAAGTCGCGGAATGAAATTGGTGTAGTGCTGAACCGTAAATAATATCCAGTGGCAAGCCTGGTTCATCACGGATACTGCCCTGCTCATTACAGCAGAGTCTGCTGCTGCTGCTGCTGCCAAATCAATCTGGCTCGAATCTCTGCCGCACAGCACGAGAAACTCACAGCTCAGAAAGGTACAGGTGAAGAGAGCTAACAATGCCCCCCATGTGTGTGTCCATGAGGATATATGATGCGTGTGTGTGCGCGCGATCGCAAACAGCACTTGCTCCAACAGTCTATTGAGGCTCTACGGGGGATCTGTGTCTTTGTGCACGTGTGGAGTTGTAGTCTAGTGGTTCGCGCGGTGTGCTAGGAGCTTGGTGACCCGAGTTCGAGGTCCACTCATAGCAAAACATTAGCGAATATTTGACCTGATCCTGGGTAGTGAATATCCTGGGCCTCACCTAGATCGACGTGGCCTCAAATCAGTACATGGTGCCGTGTATCAACATCAGCACTGGGGAGACAAAGGTGGCCGGGGGTGGTGCTTGGCCACCAACACCTGGGGTTCCGTGGTGCCTTATATTGGTTCTCACGAGCAGCACTTGCTTGAGAAAGTCTGTTGAGACTATACGTGGGGGGATTTTGATTAAATTATTATTGTATTGTTTCCCTTCTACGTGACTTTACCGAAAGAACCAAGAATATCTATACGGGGGGGATCTTTGTCTGTGCAGGCCCGATGCAAGAAACGGTTTACGACTTCTGGCGGATGGTGTGGCAGGAGAAATCGGCCAGCATCGTGATGGTCACCAACCTGGTGGAGGTTGGCAGGGTGAGTACAGCCTCGGCCTTCCGGCTCCTTGGCCTCTCCCGTGCAGAGCCGCCTTTTCTTCCATTTCACTTTGCTTATATTGCCATGAGGGAAAATTATTTAGCATTGCCAAGATAATGTTTTGGCAGAGAACATGTCACGCTACCCAAATGTATTTATTGTCGTTTATCTGTCGAGTTTGTTTACGAGGGTCTGCATTTAATTGGGGGTCGCTGGACAATTTCTGGAGTGTAGCATGCGTGACATCCTGCCATGGCATCATGCAAAACTGAAACTCGCAATGGTTGCCAGTTATAATACGAGGCCAATTTATTTTAACCCCCCCCCCCCCACTGCATCTGTCCAAACAGCAGTATACTTGGGTACACAACAGTTAGACGACTGATAGGTGACGCGTGGTGTGGCAAAGTGTGGGTATTCCACTTGTACCAAGACATCTGGGAAAGTAGGCAGACCAAACACCGTCGAGAGAAGCTCTCTGGAGGGACTCTCTGGCGCTCCCTCTAGTGGAGGCTTTTCCGCTAGCAGGGGCGTGAGCGGGAAATTGCAGGGCTGCTCCTTAACCTTTTTGTCCGAGGAACTCTTGAACGAGCGGAGCTAATCGCGCACGCCTCTGTCCAGCCGCTGAGAGAGATCATTGCCAGCTGCGGCTGGAGCTGTTTAAACCTGACGACGCTCGCTCGGAGTTTGACGGATAATTGGGGCTGCAAGGCGATCGCGGTCAGCGAGCCGCCGTCGCCGCCTGCACCCCCGCGGGCCTTGCGAGTCGCACGGCCGCGACGCGCCGGAGTTGCCTCGTCTAAAGCTCGCCCGAGACCGGCGGACGATCGCTTGGCGGATATTACGGACGCTGCCACGGCGGTGCAACGGTTAGCGCAATGGACTTAAAATCCGTTCTGTTCGATCTCCCGGCACGGCAGTTGAAACAACGGTGCAAGGTTCTTAAATGCCTCCTGTCCCTGTCCACCCGGCAGTTTGAACGGATACACCATGGTCAGTGATGTCAGCAGTTCCTGCATGGTGGGGTCACGCAGGACTTGTAGCCAGAGGGGATTTCTAGAGCTCCCCCTCGTGGATGCCCTTCCTGCAGCAGTGGTGCAAAGAATCAGTGCCAGGGCTGCATCTTTACCTTGATACAGATATAATGTTCCACTTTTTGTAAACAAATTGGCAGCACCGTTGATTGAATTGTATTGGCCTCGGCATAGCTGTTCAAACAAAGCCGGTAGCTTTCTTTGCAGTGGAGATTGTAATGGTGGTGGTGCGTAATACATTCTGTAACTCAGTTTGCTCTTTAACAATTAATTCTCAACGCGTGTTCTCCAAAAGTCATTTTCTAATTCCTGTGGTGAGCTCTTGACTCGCACTGGCCCCCACTTAGTTGCATTGTGTTGCAAATCATTTGGGGGCAGCGCGTTATGTGCCGAGCGCACAGAAGTAAGCTAAACAAATGAAAACATAAAAATCTAGACGCGCGCAAATGCGACCGGTGATTACAGCTAATTGCCAGCAGTGATGATGAGTATCGCAAACGACTGATTATATCAAGATGATCTGCGACTGCTAAGACCCAAGTTGACCGAAAGCACGGAATGTTGTTTTTTTTCTTCACGGATTACGGCACCACCTCGTTTATAGTTAATATCCAGTCAACCTAAAACGCCCTAATGAACATCATTTTATTTTTCCATGGAAGTGCCCCGGCAGTCGAGCGTAGTTATGTGTTGCTAGATTTCACGATAATCCTTAAAAAAAAAAGTGTAATCGTTCACCAGCTCGATGTTGGTCATTTTAACACATGGCTCATGGTTCCTTTGAATCCAAGCACACCGCGCTCCTGCACTCCGACATGCTTTTGTGATTGAGGATCACGATCGCAACCCAAAGCGCTCTTCTTCATGACCGCTGCGTAGCCATCCGACGAGTGCTTTGATCATGCCGCGTGTCGTTCGGCACGATGTCCGACGTTTCGCTCGGCACGTGGGGAGCTTCTTTGGGATTTTCTGTGATTGTGAAGACCAAAAGATCCTTGGCGAAGTGTCGGACATCGTGCCGACACCAGCGTGTGGTACAGCACGGAAACGCCACAGAGAGTTATGCTTTCCTGAATTCCTCAACGAAAGCAGAGTGAAACTAATATACAAGCTTGTTTACCACAACTCGCGGAATACGTGTCCAGGCTGGATTACTTCAAGGAAACAGCCTTGAACATTGGCAGGGCAGGTTAAAAGTATTTCGTTTTCCACTGTATAACCAAGCCGTGCCAGGGCCATGGCTCTGGTGCCACCAATTTTTTTGTCCCAATCCAAAACTCAAGACATGTTACTGATATCACGAGCAATGAACGAGCCTCGTCAACCAGGCCACTGGCCCTGCTTGGCCCTGGACCAGGTGCAGATGTCATAGTTTGGTTCTGGCTCGGCTCGGCATATAGCCAATGGAAAAACCACTCGTACCGGGAGGGTCGCGCACTGCATATGGCTGGAATGCATCAGTGAAAAGAGGTTAATACACGTTATATGTGTGCCAACATGCCACGCAGTGGAGCGCGCTTGATTGTATGAGGCCAGCTGGCTGCTTGCTATGGGGAGGGAGGGTTCCGCATGGCACAGGCATGCAGGGATAGCAGAAAGAAAGCATCTAAAGCTGGAACATTGACTACGGAACGTGGCGTTAGGCTGCATGCGCACGGACAGCTGTTTGTCAGTCCACTGCTGGATGATAGACGGGCGCGCACGGAGCCAGCTGAAGGAAACTGGGGCCAACTCGCGTTTTCGCGGCGCTAGGGTGAGCGACGTGGTTGATGGAAAGTGTCCAAAGGGCTCCCATTTGCCGGCCATTAGACCGCTCGCCCCAGTCGACAAAGGCCCCCACTCTGTGCCGCAGCCACGGTTGGGGCTCCGCTGTCCGGTACCAAAAGACCGTGTGCGGCTTTATCTGTTTATTTATTTATTCAAATCACGGTTGCCGAGAACAGGTACGATGGCAGCGTTCTATTACTTCTTGGCCTCGGCAAAGCGGTGCGAGCGCTCGTGCCGCGTTCTGTGTTCGCAGGTGAAGTGCTACAAGTACTGGCCGGAGGACGAGCAGGTGCACGGCGACCTCACCGTCTCGCTCGTGCACACCGAGCTGCTGGCCGAATACGTCATCCGCACGTTCACCGTGGAGAGGGTGCGTGTGTGTGCATGTGCGTCCGCATGTGCGTGCGTGTGCGTGCGTGTCCCAGCAGCCACGACGCTCTGTGTCCACGGCCGGCGGTGCCCACGTGGGCGTGGGTCAGCCCCGTAGCTTGGGATGGGGTGGGATGGGGTGGGGGGGGGGTGTCTGGAGGGGGCTGGATGAGCCCCTCCCCCTTCTAAATTATTGTTGTCGAGTCACATAATGTTGGTACTTTATTCAGAGGGTCGTTTGGACGAAGTGAATTGGTGCAGTTAATTAGTGCAACAGATTCCCAAAGCCTCGTGCTGCAGTGAGAATGCAAGCCCAATGTTGACTCCATCTACATGTGCCAACCATAACAGGGTACACTGTTGGTGGGAGCGATTTGAGCATCAAAAACAACGGCCTCGCTGAGTTGATAAAATCCCACGCTAGAGCATAGCGTAGCAGCAGCATGTTCGCCACTTTTAAAATTGATTGCACTGACTACGGATAAAATATGCCCTGCACAATATTGTATATACAGACCTGCACACACTCACAAACACATATACACTTTTAGAGAATAAGATGGCTGATAAAGAAATAATGCAGATAAATATTGGTTCATCATTGGTGGACGTCACTGGTAATATAGCCAGAGATGATGAGGATCTGGCAGCACGACAGTGGATTCTGTACTCTCTTTCTGCACAGCTCTGAGTGTCACCCTTTTGTCCGTGTCTGTGTGTGGTACCCCAGAAGCCATACAACTCGTTCATGGGAATGTGTCAAACATCCCAATGCAGCAGCAGCACCTTCCTGAAAATGTCCTCGGATTTAGTAAGGGTTTGTCATCATCATGTGCCATTGATAGATGGCCTCCCCAGGCCACTGACACCTTTCCCTGTCATGCAACGTTAAAGCATCTCCCTAGCACCTCCACGTGAACTGATTTCATCGCTCCATCTCCAAGGTGGGGGTCTTTTCGGTTCCATTCCGTTCCTTGTCCGCCACTCCATGATTAGTCTTCACAGTGGGCCATCATCCCTTCGAGTGAGGGCGTCTGGCTCAAGTCTTGCCCTCTTATGATGCAATATATGTGTTCATGACAATGTTGTGTTTATTATACACATGCACGCTGCCTGCATTGAACGTGTGCGGTGAGTGATGATTGCATAATGGTTTGAATAGTGGAACCGTTGCAGATATTCATTCTATGTAGATTCAGTTTCTGTTTTCAGTTTAATTTATTTGGTATAGCCCTGTGAGCCATTCGGCTCTTGAATCGGGTGCAGCCGCAACAAACAAAAACAAAAAACATGAACAAGAAAACATCTTAAAGTGACTTTGTGACTGTGCAAACAGAAAATCCAGGAAAAAAACAGCAAAATATTCCTGAAAAAAGCACCGTACACCAACGCTGTGTGCAAAAATCCCAATGGGATGCAAGTCAAACAACAACAACCACCAGACAACTTAGATTAAAGCCATCAGTCTCACTCCGTACTACAACAAACAAACATGGCCAAACCAAAAAACGTTTTCGACATCACCAAAATAAAGCCATAAAAGCAATGTGACAGTGATCATAGGAACTGTGACTGAATGTTTAACAATAAACTACATAAATAACATGTAACACCAAACCCTAGAGCAGTGGTTCTTAACCTTGTTGGAGGTACCGAACCCCACCAGTTTCATATGCGCATTCACCGAACCCCTCTTTAGTGAAAAATAAAATGTGATTTTTTTCAAATTCAAGACGTAGATATGTTTTTTACTGGTACACAAAATGAGCCGTGCATGAACATTACCTTGTTCAAAGAATAAAACCAACACAATGCATAAACTCACAACAAATTACATACCTGGAAATCTATGTGACTTCTGCTGTTGCCTTTGAGAGATCAGTTCAGATATGCGTGGCTTCACCTTGGCAAGTGCCACTCTCATGTCATTGTCACAGCAAAGTCTGTTCCTTTTCTTCGTTTTTATGTCCAGCATCCTCGAAAAGGATTGCTCACAAAGATATGTTGTAACAAATGGTATAAAAAAATCCAGGGCTTTCTTAGCAATAACTGGATACTTGTTCATTTGTCGACACCAAAACGTTGAGAGCGTTGTTGTTCTGAAGAGTTGCTGTTGAACCTGGCTCTGCTGAATTTCAATGATTTCGTCGAGGAATTCATCATTGACATCTGCTGTTTCAACAGCAAACGTGAACGGCTGTCTCACCCATGCTGGATATGACTCTCTTGTAGGGAAATATCCGTCGAGAGACTTTGCAAGCTCATCTAAGTGCGTGGCAATTGTTTGCTTCAGTTCCGTGGATACAGAAATATCTCCGATTCCAGACACATCTTCGATCTTACTTGCACAGTCGTCCAGAAGCGGGAAGTTTGCGAAGTTGTTGTTCTCTGTTCGTCGTTTCCATAACGGTAGCTTTTTTGAAAAGCCTTCAGGTGTTCTTCCGCTTCCATGATATTGACTCCACCACCCTGCATCTGCTGATTGAGATGATTGAGAGCTGCGAATATATCAGCCATGTACGCTAAAATGAGAATGAACTCAGGATTTTTGAAGCAATCTGCATGGCAGTGTTGGTGCTCTTGCAAAAACAGGGCTAATTCCACACGCATGGCAAAAACACGATTCAGCACCTGTCGCCGGGATAACCACCGAATATTAGAATGGAGCAGAAGTACCTCAAATTCAGAGCCCATTTCTTTACACAGCTCACTGAAGATGCGGTGCCTCAGAGCACTTTTTCGCACATAGTTCACACATTCCACCACAGTTTTTAATACTTCTGTCATTTTTGGAGGTAAGGTTTTTGTTGCCAACGCATGCCTGTGCAGAATACAATGCGTCACAATGATGTGTGGTGCATCGGCCTTTACTAGCGCACCAAAACCAGACTTTCTTCCCAGCATGACTGGAGCTCCGTCCGTACAAACTGCAGAAACCATATCCCATGAAAGATTGTTGTCTCTGAAGAAGTCATCCACAAGCTTCTTCACATCGGCTGCCTTCGTTGTTGTAAGAGGCTTACAAAATAAAAACTCTTCTTTTATCATGTCGTCTTTCACATAGCGTACAAAAACAGCAAGCTGGCTTAGATCAGAAACGTATGTGGTTTCGTCGAGTTGAAGGCTGAATTTTGCCGGGCTTGAAATCAGATCCGCGACTACTTGAGCCAAGATGTCTTTACTCATGTCTTCTATTCTGTCACTGACGGTGTCATTTGAAAGGGGAATTTGGTATAATTTACCTTCGGCCGCTGTTCCGAGTATCAGATTCGCCATCTTTAATGCAGCTGGTTTCACAAGTGTTTCACCAATGGTGTGTGGCTTGCCCTGCTTTGCGATCAGGTAAGCAACTTCGTACGATGCTGTCAGGATCGGTTTGTTAACAGGTACAAATCCAAGAGCAGGCAGAGTGGCCCTTTCATCGAATCTGGCTCTCTTCACCCTGAATTCAGCAAGTGTTGTGTTCTTGTATTCCCCATCTCCATGCAGCTTCAAGAAGTGTTCCTTTAGTTTTGCCGGTGCAAGACTAGAGTTGCTCAACTTGGCGTTGCAAATCATGCAGATAGGACGCTCACTCCCATCACGTTCCGTGATACATGAGAATCCATGTTGTACATATTCGTCCGACCACTTTCTTCTTTTGCCCGACATAGTTAGTATGGATAAAATATTAAAGAAATCACACGACGTATGACAACAACAGTCACACGTTGACTACTGAGTACGCACTAAATTCCCCGCAGCGCTGATTGGCCAAGCAGTGTAGCATGATCATCTGCAGCCAGTGATGGCCAAGCGGGCCGTGTGTGTCATCACAAATTTACACAATAATTCAAGTGTGTCCGGACCTCCGTGGCGGGGGCTCTGCCGAACCCCTGAGATCGACTCACCGAACCCCTGGGGTTCGATCGAACCCAGGTTAAGAACCACTGCCCTAGAGCCATAGCTGGCTGCATGAGTCACTCCACAACAACAGGAGCATCAGTCGGAGTATCACATTTTTCAATGCACCTTTAAGATCAGCACACTAAATCAAAATGAAGATAATACTTTGCAGCGGTCGTCCGCTGCAACTGAATAGCAGTGGCAGCTAGGGGTATACAACTCCTCTAGAGCAGTTTTGAGTGAAGATCTCATAGGTAGTGATTCAAGTTGCAGTTTATTGGCAATAGCATTCCAGACCCTGGGGGCATCAATAGCAAAGGCCCTTCCTCCAGTTTTTGTACGGCAATAGGGAATGTGAAGCTGGTAAATGAGCGAAGACCTGAGGTCAAATTTGTTCTTTGAAACAGAGAGGAGATCCAGCAGGTAGTCTGCGGATTGTTTTGTAAGTACATCGTGAATAAATAACATCTGGTGCACAAGCCGTCGAACATTAAGAGATGTTAAGTTTGACCCAATGTAGAGATAACAGTGGTGAGTCCTATATGAGCAGTTCAATGCAAATCTTAAGGCCGAGTGATAAATGGGAATCAAGCTTCTTCAGTACAGTACTTGGGGCTGATTTATATACGATGTCACAGTAATCAAGTAGAGGCAGTATGTTAGCTTTTATCAATTCCAAACGGAACATAGGGGGGAAGCAGTGCTTGTGTCGATACAGAAAACCAATTTTTATTTTTTGTCTTTTTACCAATATAATCAATGTGATCTTCAAAATTCAGTTTTGAGTCCAGGATGACCCCGAGATACTTATAGATCTTGACTTGCTCTTTTTGATAGTTATTTAAGGAATGTAATTGGGGAAAAATAACTTCTTGCTTTAGTCCTGGTGAGAAGCATAGCACCTTGGTTTTGGAGGTATTCAGGACTAGTTTAAGAGCAACTAGCTGGTGTTGTAGTTTGTTGAAATCACCCTGGAGCTTAGCAATCACGTCATCCGGAGAGCGGCCAGCAGTAATCAGTATCGTGTCATCTGCAAAAAGATTTACCCTGGAATGATCCAGGTCAGTGCCCAAGTCATTGACATGTAGAGAGAACAAGAGGGGGCCGAGGATGGAACCCTGTGGAACCCCTTTTGTTATCTTAACACTGTTTGACCTCCAACCATCTGTGAATACAGTTTGGGTGCGAGAAAAGAGGTAAATTTTTAATCATTTTACTGCGTTTTCGGAAAAACCGAGGCAACTTAGTTTACTAAGCAGGGTGTTGTGGTCTACTGTATCAAAAGCTTTGGACAGGTCAAGAAAAAGACAGGCACAGCACTGCTTATTATCAAGGTTACTGTCAATGTGATTCAGAGAGTCTAATGCAGCAGATGTGGTGCTGTCTTTTTTCCAGAAGCCAGATTGTTTTAGATGTAGTAGATTGTTGGTGGACAGGAAACTGCTAATTTGGTAGTTCAATAATTTTTCAAAAATTTTCATCAACGGGGACAAAATTGAGATAGGTCGGTAGTTATCTGGATAATCTTTAGGGCCCCTTTGTGAAGTGGACGGACATAGGAATGTTTCCATTCTAGAGGAACTGATGCTGCTTTGATGGACAGGTTGAAAATGTGGACTATAGGTTTGTATATTACTGTAGGTGACCAACAGTTAGTAGAGCAAAGACGGGAATATTATCTGCTCCGGTAGAGGAGGACCCTTTGAGGTAGGACAGTTGTTTCAGAACATTACTTTCGTGGATTGTCTGGAAACTAAATTCGTTTAATGTTTGGACAGGGGTGTAGGAAATTGCATGAGCATGGGTGACTCCCAATACATTATCAAAAAGATTACCAGCTTCAGAAAAATGAAGGTTAAAATTGTCAACAATTTTTTTGGGATCTGAAAAATATTCCCAATTTCGGTTAAGCTCAACGGGCAGATTATCTGTTTTGGATGCCTTTTCGATACATTTGATTGTTTTCCAGAAAATCCTGGCTTTTCCACGTGATTCCAGGAGAGTGGAGGAAAAGTAGGCATTTTTTTGCATGCCTGATTTTTTACGCATCTATTCCTTAAAATCCTGTATTCTAGCCAGTCATTGATCAATTTACTTTTCTGAGCACATGCCCAAGCCTTGTCCCTAGCTTTCATGAGCTTTGTAATCAAAGGATCAAACCATGGTGGGCGGTTGCCTTTAGTTTTAAATCTAACCAACGGAGCATGTTTGTTAAGAATTTGGAGAAACGTGTGCCTGAAGGTCTCCCAAGCCGTAGTCAGGTTGGGGATATCACAGACCTTGTCAATATCTGAGTGAAGCACATCATTAGTAAATGCCTGAGTGCTGAAGTGTCTCATAGAGTGCTTCTCAACTAATTTAGAGGGGGCTTTGGGTCTGGCTGATGATCTCATCCCAAAAATTAAGGAGTGATCACTAAGGTTATTACCCAGAACACCAGTCAGTGCGATATTGTGAGGGGCATTTGTCAATAGGACGTCAAGCAGAGATGACTCTCCCGGATTTTTTAGGTTGGGTCTTGTGGGAACATTTATTAATTGAAACAGGTTAAATACATCTGCAAAATTTGTGGCCACGGCCGGCAGATTTAGCCAATTCCAATTTAGATCATCCACTAAAACTACTTCACCTTTTGGGAGGCCCCCAAAAGCTCTCTCAGTGCAGATAGAGTGAAGAGGGGTATTTGCGTTCAGGCGGCGACACAATGATGAAAACCTTGACATGGGTGATGAATGCTGCGAATGCACCACACAAATAATAAGTAAATAACTCGGCAGGCAACTGCACAATGCTGCGAACATCGACCAAGGCCACGACTTGGAAAATTACTTCTTTGCATATAAAAACAGCACTCAATTTGCACACACTCACACATACACTCAGCAAAGGCAAAGATGTTCCGTGTAGCCATATACACTGGCTGGGGAAAGTGCCATTTGTGAGAACCTATTTAGGCCGGCACAGCAAACAAGGGGGGTTATGTGGCCCGTACCACGGACGGCCACCTGCGAAGTCTCGCCAGTGGCGATGTTTACATGCCGCACCAGGCGCTCGATTAAGGTCGAATTGACCTCGGGGAGGCCCAGAACAGGTCAAGATAAGCCCGTCACTGATGCCGTCTGTGACTGGAAATTGAACTCAGGAAGCCAGGTCCATTATTCGGTTTGTGAAGCAGTGTACACCTCTCTCAATACAGATGCATGCACACCCAAAAAGGAAAATGCTAAGATCCCCCCTGTAGCCTACATAGATTGTTGAGGCAAGAGCTGTTGGTGAGCACCTATTAAGGCCAGCACATTGCACAAAGGGCTAGGTGTTTCCAGCTCCACTCCCGATAACTTCTGTGTCCCCAGTGCTGATCTTTACACAAAGCATCGGCAAATCATTTCAAGCTCTTGACCTAGGGGAGGCATCTATGAAAAGGTCGGGACAGCGCACGAGTGAGTGGTATGGCCAGAATAAAAAATGCACACGGACATACGCATTCACGAGTACGCACGCATGCACGCACCACATCGCAGTTTGTCAGATGCTCTCAAACCACCCAGCACGGAATCGTGTTTTTTTTTTCCACAGCGCATTTCGGTTTTATTTTTCAAAACAAGAACTGAAGCGTGACCCTGCACAGGTCGCCCACTTTCAGGCGACCAACACACGCACGCACACACATACACACACACATACACACACACATACACACACACATACACACATACACACACATACACACACATACACACACACATACACACACATAAAACGGGTCGATAATTCCATCGGGCGTCTTTGGAATGTTCAAAGACACCGGCGCAGGTGGCCTCGATGCATCCCCCTCACCCCCCTCACCCCCCTCACACCCCCCCCCCATCCCCCTCACCCCCCTCACCCCCCCCCCATCCCCTCCCTGGGTGGCGCTCGGCGGTGGACGGGTCCGTGGCTGTGTGTCGCCCGCGCGCGTGCAGACGGGATACTTTGAAGTGCAGGAGGTGAAGCAGTTCCACTTCACGGGCTGGCCTGACCACGGCGTCCCCTACTACGCCACGGGGCTGCTCGCCTTCATCCGCCGCGTGCGCAGCCTCAACCCGCCGGAGGCCGGCCCGGTCGTCGTCCACTGCAGGTCCTCCCTCCCGCCCTGCCCCTCGCGGCGCTCCGGGTCTCTCTGGAGTTGCACGGTGGTTAGGGCGCTCCGCCGCGAACCCTCGCGACCTGAGTTTTCGAGTGATGTCTGAACCCGCCTTGGGGTCTCGCGTCCGCCCTTGTCCGACCCGCACTGACCGGCGTGGTGAAGTATGGTCAAATAATGCCGATGACGGAGGCCCACGTCCAGCAGTGGGTTGAGAAAGGGTTTCACGCTGAGCATCCTGACTGCTGTCATCATCCCTAAGCACGGTTTAGCATGGTTAGCACTCGGATGGGAGACTGCCTGAGTATCCCACGGCGTTGTGGCTTCGGTTCTGCGAGGGGACCAGGAGAGCGTCTGTAAAGCGATCTGCACAGAGCTTTTGGTGATATCCCCTCGCATTCATGGCTCTTGTCACCTGCTTTCCTCATGCATGCTAAGGGATGGCATTGGCCAAACATCCCAATACAGGACCCTCCTAAAAACAAGGTCTTGAGACTCTGCGTGGCTTGCTGGTATCGTGCATTGTTATTATGATGCTGACTCACACTGTGCTCGTTCCATTACTCACCAACTTGTGCAGCTGTTTCACAACCACGTCTATCGTGCCATTACTCACCAACATGTGCAGCTGTTTCACAACCACGTCTATCGTGCCATTACTCACCAACATGTGCAGCTGTTTCACAACCACGCCTATCGTTCCATTACTCACCAACTTGTACAACTATTTCACAACCACGCCTATCGTTCCATTACTCACCAACTTGTGCAGCTGTTTCACAACCACGTCTATCGTGCCATTACTCACCAACATGTGCAGCTGTTTCACAACCACGCCTATCGTTCCATTACTCACCAACTTGTGCAGCTGTTTCACAACCACGTCTATCGTGCCATTACTCACCAACATGTGCAGCTGTTTCACAACCACGCCTATCGTTCCATTACTCACCAACTTGTGCAGCTGTTTCACAACCACGTCTATCGTGCCATTACTCACCAACATGTGCAGCTGTTTCACAACCACGCCTATCGTTCCATTACTCACTAATTTGTACAGCTGTTTCACAACCACGTCTATCTATCCATTACTCACCAACATGTACAACTGTTTCACAACCACGTCTATTGGTGCTTGACCAGATTGAGACAAGGCTCTAAAGAAATTTGTCTCTGGTGTGGACCAATCAGTTTCAAGGACAATACATATATTATCAGTGTGTGTTTTTTGTTTGCATTTTGACTGCAAGTATTGTGGTTAATGCAGACATGAGTCCTTGTAAAACGGATTCCGTTTTGTTGCCAGAAAAAAGGGGAAATTCCCTATTATTCTATTTTGGTACTGGCAAAGGAGGTCCAATGATGAACCACGTCTATCGTTCCATTACTCACCAACATGTGCAGCTGTTTCACAACCACGTCTATCGTTACATTACTCACCAACTTGTGCAGCTGTTTCACAACCACGTCTATCGTTCCATCTCTCTTTTGGTTGTTCCTTCCCGGCTGTCATTCCATCACGAGCTCTATCTGTGGCCATCCCCCCCCCCCCACTCTGTAATAACAGGCTAGGCCCCGAGTCTGTCTTGTTGCATCACGGCCATATCAGATGGAACGCTGCTATTTCTCGCACAGTGCGAACACGAATCTTCAATATATCAGCACTGAGCTGAATTATACAAAAAAAACATTTGCCCATGTTTGAATTTAACCGTTTTTTTCTCCCAATGCAATTCAACAAACAGCAGATTGTTACGCGGCGATATATTTCCACGCGGCCTTCTGTAATGGAAATCTGCACAGCTCTGATGTGGAACTGGCAGCGCTGGTATCTTCGGCACTAATATGGGCCTGACTGTCCACTTTGCTCAGCGTGAAACGCATGGGTGGCAGGGAGGCAGCGCAGCAAGCAGGCCCTGGGTTTGATTGCCCACCAGGGTGCCTTTCAATGCTGGGTTTTTGTAAAGAGTATTGGGTTTGTTCTCTTATTTTCCTGATATCGTAAAAAACCCCGCATACAATGTAACGTGAGGGAAAAAAGTATTTGATCCCCTGCTGATTTTGTACTTTTGCCCACTGACAAAGAAAAGATCATATTCTTAGTTCTTTCGGTAAAGTCACGTTGAAGGGAAAAAATAAAATAATATATAAAACAATAAAAATTCTCACGACGTTTCGACCATAACACAAACGGTCATCATCAGGTGTGTCGGTTTGCATTAATGTATTTATTTTTAAATGGTATATTTATTTATAAAAAAACGTTAGCGCCATGCGCAGCAATTTGGCAGTTTATTTAGAATGACTAGTCCATCTATGTTCTGAAAAGAGGAGGGGGGAGACGAATTTTTTTTTAATGTATGCTGTCTGAAAGCCACTGTAAGCGTGAACAATCAATTAAGACCTGAAATGGTTTATCAAATCTTTCCAATGATTGCTAAGCCAAAAAAACACCTCTGCGGTACAAAATTCTACTCACCTGGTATCGACAATCAAGGGTATTTCCCTGTCCCCAGACGACCTGCTTGTCAGTTTTGATGTAGTTTCCTTATTCACCAAGGTTTCTGTACCTGACACCATCGCAATCATTGAAGACTTGGTTCATTAAGGACTAAACACTGAGGTACCCCCCCTGGTGAGACACTGTTTAACCAATACATACTTCACTTGGAATGGAACTTTCTACAAACAAACTGAGGGCACCCCAATGGGCTCCCCCCTATCTCCGGTTATAGCTAACATTTTCATGGAGAATTTTGAGACTGACGCCATCCAGACTGCCACTCTGCGCCCAACCTTATGGAAGAGGTACGTGGATGACACTTTTGTCATCTGGCCACATGGCCGGCCTGCTCTAGACCAATTCTTCGACCACATCAATTCCATACACCCAGCCATCAGATTTACCATGGAAGTCTAAAAAGATGGCAAGCTACCTTTTTTGGATGTCCTAATTAAAAAGAGACCTGATGGTGCAATGAGCCACTCTGTCTACAGGAAAGCTACCCATACGGATGCTTATCTGAAACCGGATTCCCACCACAATCCATCACAGAAGAATTCTCTCATCAAGACTCTGTATCATAGAGCCCAATGCATATCCGACCAGGAACACATAGGCAGTGAACTCAAGCACGTACAGCAAGCTCTTAAGGCTAATGGTTACTCCGACTATACAATCCGCAAAGCTATCACTCAAACCATGAAGAAGGACCCTCTTGAGGAGCCTTTCAAAACCATCACTTTACCCTACATTGCGGGGATCACAAAAAATATCTCCAAAATCTTGAATAAACACAAGATCCAGGTCCGTTTCAACACATTACATAAAATCCGTGATCTGGTTCCGTCTGTAAAAGATGTGATTCCGGACATACAATACCCTGGTGTCTACAAACTAAGTTGCCTCTGTGGTAGTAGTTACACTGGAGAAACCAAACGCCATGTCTCGGACCGCATTCGTGAACAGAAAGCAGACCTTAAACACGGTAGAACCAACACCTCGGCCGTGGCAGATAATTGTTATAATTCAGTAGGCTCACATGACATTGACTTTTCCAAGACAGAGGTTCTTTGTAAGCCATCTGGCTACCATGAGAGATTTGTTCATGAGGCTATCCACATATACAAGCACAGAGACAATTTCAACCGAGAAGATGGATTCTGGCTTCGCAATCATTGGAAAGATTTGATAAACCATTTCAGGTCTTAATTGATTGTTCACGCTTACAGTGGCTTTCAGACAGCATACATTAAAAAATTTTCGTCTCCCCCCTCCTCTTTTCAGAACATAGATGGACTAGTCCTTCTAAATAAACTGCCAAATCGCTGCGCGTGGCGCTAACGTTTTTATAAGTAAATAAATAAATAAATTCGCCGTTTTAAAATAAATACATTTATGCAAACCGACACACCTGATGACGACCGTTTGTGTCATGGTCGAAACGTCGTGAGAATTTTTATTGTTTTATATATATTTTATTATTTTATTGTTTCCCTTCAACGTGACTTTACCGAAAGAACTACGAATATGAATTACTGCAGTCACGAAAGATTTAAATCAAAAATAAATGATCAGTCTATAATTTTAATGGTAGGTTTATTTGAACAGTGAGAGACAGAATAACAACAACAAAAATCCAGAAAAACGCATGTCAAAAATGTTATAAATTGATTTGCATTTTAATGAGGGAAATAAGTATTTGACCCCCTCTCAATCAGAAAGATTTCTGGCTTCCAGGTGTCTTTTATACAGGTAACGAGCTGAGATTAGGAGCACACTCTTAAAGGGAGTGCTCTAATCTCAGCTTGTTACCTGTATAAAAGACACCTGTCCACAGAAGCAATCAATCAGATTCCAAACTCTCCACCATGGCCAAGACCAACGAGCTCTCCAAGGATGTCAGGGACAAGAGTGTAGACCTACACAAGGCTGGAATGGGCTACAAGACTATTGCCAAGCAGCTTGGTGAGAAGGTGACAACAGTTGGTGCGATTATTCGCAAATGGAAGAAACACACAAGAACTGTCAATCTCCCTCGGCCTGGGGCTCCATGCAAGATCTCACCTCGTGGAGTTGCAATTATCATGAGAACGGTGAGGAATCAGCCCAGAACTACACGGGAGGATCTTGTCAATGATTTCAAGGCAACTGGGACCATAGTCACCAACAAAACAATTGTTAACACACTACGCCGTGAAGGACTGAAATCCTGCAGCACCCACAAGGTCCCCCTGCTCAAGAAAGCACATATACATGCCCGTCTGAAGTTTGCCAATGAACATCTGAATGATTCAGAGGACAACTGGGTGAAAGTGTTGTGGTCAGATGAGACCAAAATAGAGCTCTTTGGCATCAACTCAACTCGCCGTGTTTGGAGGAGGAGGAATGCTGCCTATGACCCCAAGAACACCATCCCCACCATAAAACATGGAGGTGAAAACATTATGCTTTGGGGGTGTTTTTCTGCAACGGGGACAGGACAACTTCACCGCATCTTAGGGACGATGGATGGGGCCATGCACCGTCAAATCTTGGGTGAGAACCTCCTTCCCTCAGCCATCGCATTGAAAATGGGTCGTGGATGGGTATTCCAGCATGACAATGACCCAAAACACACGGCCAAGGCAACAAAGGAGTGGCTCAAGAAGAAGCACATTAAGGTCCTGGAGTGGCCTAGCCAGTCTCCAGACCTTAAACCCATAGAAAATCTGTGGAGGGAGCTGAAGGTTCGAGTTTCCAAACATCAGCTTCGAAACCTTAATGACTTGGAGAAGATCTGCAAAGAGGAGTGGGACAAAATCCCTCCTGAGATGTGTGCAAACCTGGTGGCCAACTACACGAAACGTCTGACCTCTGTGATTGGCGACAAGGGTTTTTGCCACCAAGTACTAAGTCATGTTTTGCAGAGGGGTCAAATACTTATTTCCCTCATTAAAATGCAAATCAAATCATAACATTTTTGACATGCGTTTTTCTGGATTTTTGTTGTTATTCTGTCTCTCTTCAAATAAACCTACCATTAAAATTATAGACTGATCATTTCTTTGTCAGTGGGCAAACGTACAAAATCAGCAGGGGATCAAATACTTTTTTCCCTCACTGTAAGTGGTATTGGCTCAACATCCCAATGCTGAAACTTTATCTGCAAATTACTCAATTGGGATTACACGCAGCAGCAACATCGCCCCCTACCGTGACAAATTTGCAGGACCCTCCTGAAAAAGAGACTTTGTGAGGCTTTTCTGGGTAAACGTGAATCTAAATATATATTTAAATCAGGAGCTGTAAACAAAATGTGAGCAAGCCACCCCGTGGCGGCCGGCAGGTCTAACTCCTAGCTGGTTGGTGGCAGGGTGGTTGGGGGGCGGTCGGCGCTTTCTATGGAGGAAGAGGCTCATTTCCATTTGGCTGTCTGGATGCAAGTGACCCCTGGAACGGCGGTTTGTTATTGGCCTGGGTTCGAATTAATGGCGCACCAATGCTTAATTTTTCAGCTCACTCCGTCGGAGGCGTTTAAATTGGCCATTGAGATGCCGACATGTGCGTCTCATTGGGGCAGTGAGACCCAGCGCCCTATATTTCGATTTTTTTACTCATCAATTCTGAATAGGTTATAAATAATAAAGTAAAAAAAATAATACAAAATGTATTTAAAAATCTGCTGTTTTATTTTTACTTTCTACTTTCACACAGGTTTTTCTGAAACTTTTTTTTTAATAAGGATACATCCCTAAACGGATACATGATTTAAAAATACATTTTAATAAGGATACATTCTTAAGAGGATATATGATTTAAAAGTACAATTCTTAGAGAATTGTCGAGGTGAAGCAGCACCGCTAATGTCCACTTCGTACAGACCCAGCCGCCACCGTCAAGCACGAGTGGAGAAAACGAGCTGCAGGTGTGCACGCCGCCTCAGTGGCCACAGATTGTAGCTGCCACTGCCCTTTGTGGTGACTTGGCCCAAATGGAATGGGCGTTGAGGCTGCAATCCAAATCGGATTTGTTCAAATGCACTGAAAATCAATGGCCATTCTCGGGTAACATTTTGAAGGGAGTTGTGGTTTTGAAGCTGCGATGAGGCCATGTCATCGGTGTCTGTACAGGTGCTTTGAGGAGACCTCGGCTTTGAGGCCGACACACGAGGTTGAAATATCACAACACGTTCCGTCGAAAACCCACGGCAATTTATGTAATTCTGAGGCAGTATCGATTGTGTGAGTGCAGAGGCAGTGTCACGGTCGGCGCTCTGCGCTACGAACCCGGCGACCCAAGTTTGATTCCTGCTCATGGCCAACACCGTCAGTGACGATTATCTGAAGCGGTCCTCGGCCTCCCCTAGGTCGACTCAGCCTCAAATGAGTGCCTGGTGCGGTGTGTAAACATTGCCACTATGGAGATAAATGCGGCCAGGCGTGGTGTTGGCCACCCATCCCCTCGTATATTTTACGAAATAGGAACTGCTGAACTCACACTACCCTTGTGTCATCCAGGCCTTATAGGTGGCCGCTTACCACACTTCGCCCAACAGTCTATGTAGGCTACACGGGGGAGCTGTGTCTTTTAGTGTGTGGAGAAGGGTGGTGCCTATGAGATGAATGCTTCCCCAGCACGCTCTCAACTCTGCTCAGGATCAGGATCAGAATCTGTATTTATACTGCAGGAGGAGCTTATAAAGCTCTTTTTCACAGATGTCCAGTCAGGGTGGGTCACAAAGTTACAACAACAAACACGACAAAAACACGATAGGAGTGAAAATTATAGGAATGGTACCATTGACAGCAGTGGGAAAGTCTTGTTTGTGCTCTCTGCCTGCCACGAGTCTCTTCTTACTCGGGTAAAGGCACAGCCCTGCAATGTCTTTCACAAGGCACTGCTGGTGGAAGAGTCTGCACAGAGCCTCCTCTAAAGGATATTTGACCCACTCTTCAACGCCGAGGAGGGAGCACTCACACTTTACCCCCCCCCCACCCCACGACAGACCGTGGGACATCCATCTATGCAGGGTGGACAAGAGGCAGGGTCGCTTTAAGACACTTGTCCATCGTTCGTATGCCGTTCCGGGAGATCAAATCGAAGCGGCGACCTCAGGATTGTGGCACTTGAATCGGTCCAAAATTAATCAACGCTGGAGCCTTCCAAACATGGCAGCTGGCTTGTGCGGTGGCCGTTGCGCCACCACCTCACCTCACCGCGCCGCCAAAAACAGCCCCTTGCCCAAGAACGCTTGTTCCAAATGGAGAGTTTTACATTTTTCTGCGTGTCTTTACAGTACAGTATTTGCATGTGCTTATCTGCATGTGGGTCTGTGCACGCACACGTGTGTGTGTGCGGTGTAACGGTGTGCGCAGTGCGGGTGCTGGCCGTACCGGCTGCTTCATCGTCATCGACATGATGCTGGAGATGGCCGAGGGGGAGGCCGTGGTCGACATCTACAACTGCGTGCGCGAGCTGCGGGCCCAGCGCGTCAACATGGTGCAGACCGAGGTGCGTCCTGCGCTTCCGCACAGCGCACACGAAGATTCCCCGTATAGCCTAAACAGACTGTTGGGGCAAGTGCGGTTAGTGAGCACCATTGAAGGCCGGCACGACGCACCACGCCCGGCCGCCTTTGTCTCCCCAGTGGAGATGTTTACACATCGACCTAGGGGAGGCCCAGGATCGGTTCATATAATCGTCGCTGGTGTTGGCCCTAGGCGAGAATCGAACTTGGGTCGCCTGGTTCGTAGCACGGAGCGCTAACCGCTACACTACTGCTCCCCATGCACATACACACGTCCACACACTCATGTGCACAATGGGGCCAGTGCTGTCATTTACATGGAGTTTGTTTAGTTCTGTGACTGTGTGAGAACTCAAGAGACCCAGGAAAGAGTCATTCACGAGCGGGACCTGGGTCACCACAACAACAAAAGCGAAGCAAATTAAATGAGGTAAAGCAATGAACTGGATCGTATATAGCGACAGACATGGAGTTCGAGACCCGACCAATATGCAGCCATTAAATGTGGAATATAAATAGTTATCTGACATTAGCTATGTTACGCTATAAAAGCGGCTAATGGTTTATTAAGCTTAATGGGTGGAGCGGTGGCACAGTGGTTAGCACCCTCTGTTATGAACATGGCAACCTGAGTCTGGATCTTGGCCACAGTCGACATCAGTGGCGAGTGATTAGCTGAGCTGGTTCCAACGTGGTGAAGTATGGTCAAGCGTACTGCTGAGGGGAGACAAAGGGGCCACGAATAACCCCCAACACTTGGACGGCATGTGGAAGCCTTCATCAAGGGCTGTAAATTAATATCATTATTATTATTTTACAAATGTTAATGCAGCAATTACAAATCACGTTTATGCATTGTTCTCAAAACATCTTTACTGGACCTGGTATGAATTTTTATTTAAAGCTTTCGTGACTGCAGGGACTCATGTTCTTGGTTCATTCGGTAAAGTCACGTAGAAGGGAAAACCACAGCAAGAAATTTGCTGTGGTTTTTACACCTGATGATTGCTTGTGTTGCAGTCGAAACGTCGTGAGAATTTTATTGTTTTATATTTTTACTATTTTATTGTTTCCCTTCTACCTGACTTTACCGAAAGAACCAAGAATATGGACCTGGTATGTTTGTAAAATATGTACAAAATAGAATTCACAGCCTTTTATTAATCCACTGCTGGATGAAGGACTCCCCATGCCGTGCCAGTCTTGCTGGTTATTTGACCATATTTCACCGTGGCAGTCAGCGTGGGTTGTTGATGACAGGGGGCCCAAAACCAGTTCCGACCCCACTCGTGGGTGGGGTCATCAGCCACGACCAGGAATTGAACTGATCGACCGGTTTGTTAGCGCAGGGCGCTAATCGCCGCCCCACCGTTCGTCGCCAGTATGCATCTACGTACACAAATATACGAGCGCTTGTACACGACATGTGGGCACGTGCATGCACACGTATGTAATTACGGTATCTAATTCAAAGATGTAATTATATGCTGTTGCAGCCGACTGCTGCAGACAATGATCGCCACTGCCCAACAAACACCCTCATTTTGCTAACCTAATCAGTGAGGAAGGTAATGTGGTCACATAGACCATAATGCAATTGATTACACCTTAATGTCCGATTTGCCTACCCCTTTGATTTACAAAAAAGTGCCACCAGCCTCATGTCCCCCGTAATTTGACAACACAAAGGTGGCGGGTAGGTGGGCGAGTGTTTCTGCGAGAGATCTTCGCGTAAATCAGCCGCTCGCTGCCCGAAACATGTTTCTCCACGAGCGCGTCTGTGTGTCTGTGTGGTTGTGTGTCTGTGTGCGTGTGTCTGTGTGTCTGTGTGCGTGTGTCTGTGTGTCTGTGTTTTGGTGTGGTTGTGTGTCTGTGTGCGTGTGTCTGTGTGGCGTGTCTGTGTGTCTGTGTGGTTGTGTGTCTGTGTGCGTGTGTCTGTGTGTTTGTGTGGTTGTGTGTCTGTGTGCGTGTGTCTGTGTGTCTGTGTAGTTGGGCTGTGTGCGTGTGTCTGTGTGGCTGTGTGTCTGTGTGGTTGTGTGTCTGTGTGCGTGTGTCTGTGTGTCTGTGTGTCTGTGTAGTTGGGCTGTGTGCGTGTGTCTGTGTGGCTGTGTGTCTGTGTGCGTGTGTCTGTGCGTCTGTGTGGCGTGTGTCTGTGTGGCTGTGTGTCTGTGTGTCTGTGTGGTTGTGTGTCTTTGTGCGTGTGTCTGTGTGTCTGTGTGGTTATGTGTCTGTGTGCGTGTGTCTGTGTGTCTGTGTAGTTGGGCTGTGTGCGTGTGTCTGTGTGGTTGTGTGTCTGTGTGCGTGTGTCTGTGCGTCTGTGTGGCGTGTGTCTGTGTGTCTGTGTGGTTGTGTGTCTATGTGTCTGTGTAGTTGGGCTGTGTGCGTGTGTCTGTGTGTCTGTGTGCGTTTGTCTGTGTGTCTGTGTAGTTGGGCTGTGTGTCTGTGTGTCTGTGTAGTTGGGCTGTGTGCGTGTGTCTGTGTGTCTGTGTAGTTGGGCTGTGTGCGTGTGTCTGTGTGTCTGTGTAGTTGGGCTGTGTGCGCGTGTCTGTGTGGTTGTGTGTCTGTGTGCGTGTGTCTGTGCGTCTGTGTGGCGTGTGTCTGTGTGTCTGTGTGGTTGTGTGTCTATGTGTCTGTGTAGTTGGGCTGTGTGCGTGTGTCTGTGTGTCTGTGTGTCTGTGTGCGTTTGTCTGTGTGTCTGTGTGTCTGTGTAGTTGGGCTGTGTGTCTGTGTGTCTGTGTAGTTGGGCTGTGTGCGTGTGTCTGTGTGTCTGTGTAGTTGGGCTGTGTGCGTGTGTCTGTGTGTCTGTGTAGTTGGTCTGTGTGCGTGTGTCTGCGTGTCTGTGTGTCTGTGTAGTTGGGCTGTGTGCGCGTGTCTGTGTGTCTGTGTAGTTGGGCTGTGTGCGTGTGTCTGTGTGTCTGTGTAGTTGGGCTGTGTGCGTGTGTCTGTGTGTCTGTGTAGTTGGGCTGTGTGCGTGTGTCTGCGTGTCTGTGTGGTTGTGTGTCTGTGTGTCTGTGTAGTTGGGCTGTGTGCGTGTGTCTGTGTGTCTGTGTGTTTGTGTAGTTGGGCTGTGTGCGCGTGTCTGCGTGTCTGTGTGTCTATGTAATTGGGCTGTATGCGCGTGTCTGCAAGTCTGCGTGTCTGCATGTCTGTGCAGTTCGTCTGTGTGCGTGTGTCTGCGTGTCTGTGTGTCTGTGTAGTTGGACTGTGTGCGCGTGGCTGCGTATTTGGGTTGTGAGCGCATGTCTGTGTATTTTGGCTGTGTGTCTGTGTAGTTGGGCTGTGTGCACATGTCTGTGTATTATGGCTGTGGCTGCGTGTCAGCGTAGTTGGACTGTGTATGTCTGTCTGCGTGTCTGTCTAGTTGGGCTGGGTGTGTGTGTTTACCTGTCTGTGTGTCTGTGTATTTGGGCCGTGTACGCATGTGCGCGTGTCTGCGTGTTTGTGTATTTTGAGTTTAAATGAGCAGCTCGACGCGAGCGCTAGTCTTCTGTGATGCACAGTCATTTTGCTAATTATTTATAATGGGCTTAATACATAATGCCACTTCCAATTTCACAGTACAAATTGCCTGGGCCATTTCATACTGTTCTCCTGGATGATTCATTATTGTCTGATGCTTTTCAGCAATTGGCCACAGGTGGTATAGGATATCAGAAATTGTCTAATTTACCTGGCGCACCTCCTCTGCCACATAAGTGGAGCAGCGACAAGATTTGAAAGAGGATGGTAATTGCGTTCATTTATAAAAGTTGAAAGAGCTCGCAAGCAGGAGTCCACTCCCAATGATGTAAATTTCACATTTGTGTATTTTCCTTTGTTCAGGTCAAAAGTTATTTAACTTAAAATAATAAAAATAATAATAATGCAGCTTTCAAATGGAGACGTTTTACTCAGGGGCCACATGGCCTCAGGGCCGGACCCGAGACTCTCCTTCATCGTCTTCCTCCTCCTCCTCCTCGTGCAATCGCAACATCCAGCGTGGGATAGTAAAAAATATAATGATCTACTTTTGAATGGATGGAGCCTCCATTTAAATATAATATCAGTCCGTATAAATACGGCGTGCTTAATGTAATTCTACGTGTGTGTGTGTGCGTGCGCGTGCTCTTCCGTGCTGTTATTGTCTCCCAAAGTGATCTCCCGGCGTTCCTGAGGGTTAAGTGAAACGGATGCAGGCCGCTCTGTGCTTTCATTAACAATGGGGGGGTCTTAAATTTTTATTTAAAGCTTTCGTGACTGCAGTAATTCATATCCTTAGTTTTTTCGGTAAAGTCACGTTGAAGAGAAACAACAAAATAATAAAATATATATAAAACAATAAAAAAATTCTCACGACGTTTCGACCATAACTCAAACGGTCGTCTTCAGGTGTGTTGGTTCGCGTAAATTTATTTTAAACGGCGCATTTATTTATTTATAAAAAACGTTAGCGCCACGCGCAACGATTTGGCAGTTTACCCAAGACTAGTCCATCTATATTCTTTAAAGAGGAGGGGGGAGACGAATTTTTTTTTTATAATGTATGCTGTCTGAAAGCCACTGTAAGCGTGAACAATCAATTAAGACCTGAAATGGTTTATCAAATCTTTCCAATGATTGCTAAGATAGAATCCATCTTCTCGGTTGAAATTGTCTCTGTGCTTGTATATGTGGATAGCCTCATGAACGAATCTCTCATGGAAGCCAGATGGCTTACAAAGAACCTCTGTCTTGGAAAAGTCAATGGCATGTGAGCCTACTGAATTAGAACAATGATCTGCCACGGCCGAGGTGTTGGTCCTACCGTGTTTAAGGTCTGCTTTGTGTTCACGAATGCGGTCCGAGACATGGCGTTTGGTTTCTCCAATGTAACTACTACCACAGAGGCAACTTAGTTTGTAGACACCAGGGTATTGTATGTCCGGAATCACATCTTTTACAGACGGAACCAGATCACGGATTTTATGTAATGTGTTGAAACGGACCTGGATCTTGTGTTTATTCAAGATTTTGGAGATCTTTTTTGTGATCCCCGCAACGTAGGGTAAAGTGATGGTTTTGAAAGGCTCCTCAAGAGGGTTCTTCTTCATGGTTTGAGTGATAGCTTTGCGGATTGTATAGTCAGAGTAACCATTGGCCCTAAGAGCTTGGTGTACGTGCTTGAGTTCACTGCTTATGTGTTCCTGGTCGGATATGCATTGGGCTCTATGATACAGAGTCTTGATGAGATAATTTTTCTGTGATGGATGGTGGTGGGAATCCGGTTTCAGATAAGCATCCGTATGGGTAGCTTTCCTGTAGACAGAGTGGCTCATTGAACCATCAGGTCTCTTTTTAATTAGGACATAAGGTATCTTGCCATCTATTTCGACTTCCATGGTAAATCTGATGGCTGGGTGTATGGAATTGATGTGGTCGAAGAATTGGTCTAGAGCAGGCCGGCCATGTGGCCAGATGACAAAAGTGTCATCCACGTACCTCTTCCATAAGGTTGGGCGCAGAGTGGCAGTCTGGCTGGCGTCAGTCTCAAATTTCTCCATGAAAATGTTAGCTATAACTGGAGAAAGGGGGGAGCCCATTGGGGTGCCAAATCGTTGCGCGTGGCGCTAATGTTTTTTATAAATAAATAAATGCGCCGTTTAAAAATAAATTGATGCGAACCAACACACCTGAAGACGACCGTTTGAGTTATGGTCGAAACGTCGTGAGAATTTTTTATTGTTTTATATATATTTTATTATTTTGTTGTTTCTCTTCAACGTGACTTTACCGAAAAAACTAAGGATATAAATGGGGGGGTCGTTTGTGGACGGACGGCGAAGTTGTCCAGCGCTTGGTGCACAATGGCCTCCGAGTGTTGGCCTGCAAATATTCAGCGCAGCCCAGGGAGAGCTCGGCCATTGGTCATTTTAGCACAGGCAGAACTGGATGGACGGTCCGCGTCGTCCACAGGGACTCGTGGTCGACGACCCCAGTGGCACTGCAGGGAGAGATGATCAGGGGGAAGAGCGGAGCGAACGGTCATGGTGGTGAAGATAGCTTGGTAGCGAGTGGTCAGAGTCGCGCAGGGAGAGACGATGATTGAATGGTGATTGTGACAGAGGGAGCGTTGTGGCGGACGACCGCTGTGGCACAGAGATAGCGCGGTGAATGGGTCGATGTTATTAGGAGCTGGCGTGCGCATTTGGCACGCTGCTGCCCTTGCTGTTACACGCACACACAGCTGTTACTCTTCATACCTTGCCTTTCCAAGGGCCTCGTAGGCACCCACTGCTCGTGGGCTTTGGCTGCCACTGCCTCTAATCCTGGATGTTTGCTCGGGCAATGTGGCCTCTGAGGTTGCCGTGGTTTGCATTTAATAAGCGGTCAGCCCGTTCGAGGTGCCAGCGAAATAATAAAACTGTAATGTTTAAAACCTCATCAGAATTCCTGGTGTAGTTCCATGTTTGTTTAGCGAATAATTTAGTTTCATGTTTATATTAGTTAACAGCGTAACATAAAAAAGAAATAATAAAATGTGCCACTCAAATTTCTATCGTACAGTTTTGTTCACGCAGGCCACTGCTAAAGCCACAGTCGCGGTGCACATAGTGATGCCAATTGATCTTTAATATTGTCAATACACTGCAGGATGGAGGCCTCCCATGTCAGTCACAGGGTTTCTTTGACCATACTTCACCACGTTGGTCTGAATGAGCTAATAAGGGTGTGCTCCAAAACTGGTTCGGATGTCACTCGACCACTGGTGTTAGCTGTAGCCAGGAGTCGAACTCAGGTCATGGGGTTTATAGCGAAGTGCGCCAACCACTGTACCACCACTCCACCCCAGTCAGAATGACAATAACACATAGCGTGTTTGTTGTTGCGTGCCGATGCCTGCCTGAGGCTGCGTGGTGAGCGGCTGTGGCGTCAAGAGCGGTGGCGTGCTCTGTGCTCCAGCGTGGGCTGCGTGCTGCACGCTTGCTCTGTATTGCCGAGTCTACTCGTGCGGTATGCACCCAGGCTGGTACGGGCCCGTGTCAAGCTACTCTTCTTAATGAAACTGCATTGTGAACTCGATTCCGTTGCAATTTGTGCTGAACGCATCGAGAGAGACCAACATGTAATTACAGCGCAGTCGTGTGGTTGTTTTGTACCCAGATCAAAGTCTATCTTAGCTTATAATCAATAACATCGGTGGATTCACACCAGGCATGGAGTGATCAGATCAGCCCGTTTGCAGGTGCTCCGTGCGATTATTTTATCGCAGGATCATGAGAGATGGCAACGGTGGCTGCTGCTGCTGCTGATTAATCGATACCATAGGTCCCTGGTTCCTTTCGGACAGAAAGGAGCCTTTACTCGACTCTCTGGCATGATATTTATTCGAGTGACATGGCTTACAGACTGACTCGCAGATGAACAACTTGAATGTATTATGTGGACGGCTGTATGGTTATTATGAGAGATTCCCGGCATGTCACAGTAATCACACACAGCCAAGTTCACTTTTTCACGACAGTCCGCGGTAAAACAAGACAATGCAGAGCCTCCCCCATCTTGTCGGTGAAGTCAAAAGGTGCAGCCCTGAAATTGTTTGTTGCTGGCAAAATAAGGGCCTCTACGAGAAAGAACTGCAGAGGGCCTACTCTCCTACGCTGGCCAGATATCCTCTAAGGGGTTAGTCACCAACGCTTCACGCAAACCTTCCGATCGACTAAATGTGGTGAACCCATTTACGCTGCTGGGCAAATAGGCAGGGGGAGGGTGTTCATTTAAGAAACTCGCCCCATCGCTTCACCTGCCGCGCCTGGAGATCGAATCGAACCGGCTTGCGGGGAATTGGAGAGAAAATCATTTAAATGAAGGGAGGGGCAGCAAACCAATTTCGAGCAATGCCCCTTGAGTGAATGCTCGTTTCGTCGTGTGGATGCGACGGGCAGGAACAGTACGTGTTCATCCACGACGTCATCCTGGAGGCCTGCCTGTGCGGGGACACCGCGGTTCCTGCCGCGGAATTCCGCTCCGTGTATTACGACCTGGCGAGACTGGACCCCCAAACGCACACCAATCAGATCAAGGAGGAGTTCCTGGTAATGCGATCTTCGCCGCTACATCTTCGATGCATAATTTATCATAAACCGCGTTCTTCATTAATAAAGAATTAAAGCTTTCGTGACTGCATAAATTACTCATTGGTTTTTTTTCGGTAAAGTCACGTATGTAGAAATACCATAAAATCATATTAAAATAAATCAATCACGACGTTTCGACCGCAACACAAGCGATCTTCATCAGGTTCTTCATTGTTTTTTATGGTGTGTTGGGTTGTAATAATAAATAAATAAATGAAACGGTATGCATTTTTATAGGAAAATATGATATCTCTTCGTAAATATGCAATATTTGCTTTATCCATAGTCAAAGTTGGCCCTGCATTGCCGCCACTTCACATTAGGTTTTGAATTTTACCTGCGTGGGCTTACAGTATCATCTGGTAATAAAATGACCTCGTCATCATCATGTCCAAAGCAAAGAGAAAATATTCCTGTGACTAATAACACCTGTTCTGTTTTTTTCTTTCTTTCACCACAATAATATCTCAATTGTACATCCCGAAATTGAAGTGTACGTTTGGGGACTCTCGCAGGGAAGTTGGTACCCTTTATGTTAGAAGACGGTCGGTGAAGTGGATGCTACAGAGCCACCACTGAGATCCCCCTCCAGTGACTTCTGGTTCACACAGTAGGCGTGGAAGTTCTTTTCCACCCACTCTGTGCATGAGAGGAATGTTTGTCATGTGACATTTGGGCTGATATTTTAATCCTCAGAGCAGGAATTTAGCAAAATTAAGTGCCAAAACCAAATTTAATGTGGTGGTTTTTTATGTGCAGTCATTGGTGGCTGGGCCGAGACGATCGGCTCACAACACGTGAGAATCCGGTTTAATCACAGGCGGCTGAAACCTGGATTTGAACCCAGGCTCTCAGCGATGGTAGCTCGGCATTATGACCTCCGATTTAGCCGGCCGTGTGGGTTTTTAATGACGCCCCGTTTGCGGAATGTCGGCACTCAGACGCTGAACACGGTGACTCCGGCGCTGCGCATGGAGGACTGCAGCATCGCGCTGCTGCCCCGCAACAACACCAAGAATCGGCACAAGGAAACGCTGCCACCGGACCGCTGCCTGCCCTTCCTGCTCACGCTGGACGGAGACAGCAGCAACTACATCAACGCTGCCCTCATGGACGTGAGCGCTGCACTGATCCTCTCCCCCCCCCCCCCCCCCCCCCCCCCATGCTGGCGCTGGGCTAGCCTGGGGTCGACCTCCACCACGATTAAAAACCCAACACATTCGTCAATAACACAACTCTGGCACTAAAGGGGAAAACAAGATAATAAACGACGTTTCAGGTGTTGGGCCTTCCTCTGTAGCAATCGATGGAGGTGCCAGAGAAACTGGGTAATAGTTGGAGAATTTTCACCATGGGTCCTGGATATGTTTCCGCATGGACGGTCATAGATGGGCATATGAACAGCTGACTGTGAGTGTATCCTTTGTTATCGTTGTGCTGGGCGATCAGGTCGTGTATGGAACAACCACAAAGGACGTTGGTGTCACGTCGGAGGTCACATTAGAATACAGTGAGACTTCTCGATGCCCGATGCATATGACCCACGACCTTCTGCCAGCTCAGGGGAAGTCGACCCAGGAGGGAAACTGTGTGCCACGCGCAGGTTCATCGTTTGGTGTAACCATTCCTTTATTATAAAATGCTGAGTCGAGGCATCCGCGACACTGGACTATCGCAACAAAGGAAAGTAACTTGAGCTCACGCGGTACACGTCAAACGTACGAAGTCTGTGTATGTGTGTATGTGTGTATGTGTCGTGCTTTTGGAGTACCTGACCCTCTGCTCACGATCATTAAGGACCTTCATGATGGTGACCGGGCCCGGGTAAAACTACGTGGCTGGGAGTCAGAGCCATTCCCTGTACACCTTGGGGTGCGACAGGGATGTCCTCTGGCTCCCACATTATTTAACATCTATTTTGACCACGTAGTTCGTGAAGCCTTCAAAAGCTGTACCGGGGGAATCTCCATATGGTACAGATATAATGGGAGGCTAATCGATGCCCGGGTGCGGTCAAGGGATGGCTCCCTATTGCTCAACCACGTTATGTATGCTGATGATTTGGTAATAGCTGCTCAGTCAGAGGAGGAGTTGGAGACGCTGCTGCTGAGACTGGAGCGTGCCACTAAGAGGTGGGGCCTTACCATCAGCCCCACCAAAACTAAGCACCTGCCTGGGTATTTTGTACCATCGGACACTCCACCCCCACAACTCCCAATCGGTGATGGGGCAGTTGTGGAGAGAGTGGAGAGTTTCCCATACCTGGGCAGTGTGCTTATGACTGGCTCCAGTTTAACAGCAGAGGTCTCACTCCGAATCAGTCGAGCGGCAATATCTTTTCATCGGTTGCGTAACGCTGTGTGGAAGCTACCTGGTCTGTCGCTCCGCACTAAGCTTCAGGTCTTCTCGGCCACGGTCATTCCCTCCCTTCTCTACGCTTGCAAAACGTGGACCCCCCTAATGGAACATCTTCGCCGGTTAGAAACATTTAGGCTGGCCTGCCTACGATCCATCCTGGGTTTAACCAGACTGGATTGTGTGAGGAGCTCACAAATCCTTGAAAGATCTGGGCAGGGTCCCATCGGTGAGCTCCTCCGGCAGGCAAGGCTGCGATGGCTGGGTCATGTAGCCCGCATGCCCAGCCACCGCATGCCGAAACAGCTTTTGTTTGGCCGGATTGAGGGGGCTAAGCGGGCGCGGCACGGGCTAGAGAAGAGATGGAGTGATGTGGTACAGGAGGACGTGGAGCTGAGTGGACTTGCCGATGACTGGTACAAGCGGTGTCAAGATCGGCCTCTGTGGAGGAGGCTCGTGAAGGATGCTACTGGGCAGTTGGAGGCAGTCGCCCTCCAACAACAACGGAGGGCGGAGGAGCGACGCTCAGAACAACGAGCGGAGCGCCGGGTGGCTAAAGCACAGCAGGTTGGCACAGTAGGGGGCACAGGTGGTGCATCAGCCTGTCATCTCAGTCAGTCGATCCGTGGCACCTGGGTCTGTCCCGTGACCTCCTGCCAGCGGGCGTTCGACACTTCACGTGGCCTCAGGGTGCACATAGCCTGGCACAAGCGTCGTGGTGACGTCACCGCCACTTAGTGGCGAATGGCGGTTGTTGTTGTTGTTGTTGTGTATGTGTGTATGCGTGGGGGGTGTGGAGCCATTCGGCCACCGGGCGCGTGCGACGCCGCTAACCCACGCCCGCCGCCGCTCTGCGATGGCGAGCGCCGCTGCCGTTGGCCGAGCGGCCGCTCCAGGTCGGGGGTCGCTGGAACGCCGAGTTCGCGCGGGACGATGGCGGCCGCGGTCGACGCGGCCCGTCTCCGAACGCGCAGCCGCGGCCTCGATGAGGCTCGGCCCCCCCTGGGTTCGGAGTCGCGACCCTTGCCTTTAGACGATTTGTATCAAATGTCGTGGAGGACGTGGCGTGTTCATCATCCAGAGTGAGAGCCGACGAACGTGAAGGTCTAGGGAGGGCTTTTATATATTTTATTTGTGGGAATCTCTCGACCGTAACCGTAATTATCGCCAAGTCAAACACCAACTCCGGCGCTGACCCTTGTCCTCGCCCCTCACACCGAGCGTATCGCTCATGCCGTATCAGAGATTGGTGTGTTTGCCTGCTGCCCGTTTGAGCGATGCGCTCTGCTCAGATTGGTGCTGTCCTCTCCGTAATCTTTAGTCATTGGGCCTGTTTGGCTCCGAAAGGAAAGGTTTCGTGAGTGAATTTTGTCCTTTGGTGAGGGGGGCGGGGGGGGATCATCAACTTAGTGGACAGCTAATGGCAGCCAACAGTGGTCCCTGAACATGTGTTCAGCATGTCCCCTTCAGACACCGGGATGGCCACGGCAATATGTTAACACGCAGATGCGTGCCGTATGTGTTTGAGTCGGGGGGGTGGTGACACGGTTGTTTTGGCACTGCGATCTCATCGCCCTTGAACCGGGTTCAATCCCTGGCCATAGGAATATTTTAACAGGCAGACGCGTGCGGTGTGTGTAGTGTGGTGTGGAGATCGGGGCAGCCGTGGCACTGGTTATTGCGCTGTGTTATAATCCCACTTTCCCTCAGTGTGAATCCTGGCCATGGATAACAACAGTGGGAAATAGTTTCTCGAATAGTATGATTCATTGGGAAAATCTGCACGAGTTGGTTGGTGCTGACAATTACTAATTAACCCTGTAGGTCACAGGTTCTAATATATATAAAAAACTCTCGTTAATAAATTTATTTCAATGAAAATTCAAAGTTAATTTGAGTCTGGGACTTCAAGGAGACATCGTCATTATGATTGGATGATTAGCAGAATGAATTGTTAGACATCGCAAAGGACTGACACAGATTTTCAAAGTGGTTTATGTATACGATCAGTCCGTATCACCTGCTGCGACATATAGATCTGAAATATGGACATATTGCAATTGTGGAGAGGTGCACGTTTAGAATTACACTGAGCGACAGGAAAAAGGAATGCATGGATTAGAGAGCATAGGCGAGTTAGAGGCATCATAGTGACTTGGGCAGGACACGTCGCGAGACGGGGTGATGATGGCCAGTGGATGAGACTAAAGACGGAGTAGCAGCCAAGGGAGAGATCACGCCCGAGAGGATGTACCCCGCGTAGAGGGAGCGGTGACATCAGCTCGTGCGAATTGGCGGCTAGGGAAGACTTTTATCCAGCAGTGGATACACTGTGCGTGATCCGTGACGACGACGATGAAGACATCCATACGCAGAATGCCAACTCGGCGAGTATGCGGCTCACTGTCAAAGCCCGCGTATTTTGCTCGGCTGCAAATAAAAAATAAATAAAAAATCCCAAAAGGAGCCCCCGCTGTGCCATGAATTAATTCCCAGGCTCGGCAAAAAGGCGATATCACTAAAGTAGAAACCAGGGACCTCTTACAATCCAAACCGGGCTGCATGAAAGTATTCGACCTATGTAATGTTAAGGTGCAGCGCTGCGATTACTTGCTCATGCCACTGTTGGCAGAAGGGCTTCCACTAGAGTTGTAGCCCGATGGCAGGAGGAGCTTCCACTTTGTTGTGGCCTGACTATCCACGCTGGCTAAACGTCTTGGAAGAGGTGGCAATACCCACACTTTACCCCACCACGAAGCGACCATTTTTGCTGCCGAGTGGACATTTGATAAATATGTGGATTTTTGTTTCGACTTCCACACCAGAAGGTTGCCAGAAGATGGAATCGGACTGGCAGCCACTAAGTTGCTAACCCAGTGTGCTCACCGTTTCACCACAACGGATAATTAAATATTTCATGGAATGCAGCTGCAAAAACATATGTTGCAATTGTTGCGATAAATGCATTGATTTCTCTGAAGTCCAAAGGCGCATCAGTGTTTATTTCTCGCGTGCAGTAATAGTGCCTCATTGCAGTTTAGTTCCAAAGAACAAACTTGGCATAACATTGTATAACTCGCCATAAAATCACGAGAAAATTGTAATGACTTTTTTCATAACTAAAAGCAAAGGTGCAGCGCTGGAATTGATTCCTCACGCGACTGCCTTTTGAGCGGCCTCCGCAAGAGGAAGCTCTGGAGAGCAGCGCCTCCTTACTGAATTAGGCCTACTCTTCCACAGTGTTTTCGTGAGACCCTAAAGATGTATCTCTATATTAGACAAATATATGTCTTTGCTGCAGTGAACATCAATTCCACGTGCAGGATTTATTCATGGGATTTCTGAGGAAGCCATAAATGTGTGCTTGTCAGCTCGTGAGCCCCGATGGCTAGATCGTTAACCTGGCACGGAGCGATGTACATGTAGCCGGTGACAAATTCATCCGGAATGTGCCCGATCTCATCAGATCTCAGAAGCTAAGCAGCATTGAGCCTGGATCGTGACCAATGGGTTAATTGTGATACACAACAGACCTAATATAATTGGGTAACTGGGATACACAACAGACTTTATATGCTGTGGCATTACGTGGTGGGCAGCAAAGGGCAGTGTAACGAAGTCCGTTGTTGTGCTGTACTGCTATGTTCACTTGATCTCCGAGATCAGATATATTTTTCCACTGGCATAGCCGTGGCCGAGAGTCTGGCGCAGGTCGCTCAGTTCGTAGTGCAGATGTGCAAACCGTAACACCACCACTGAGCCACCACATATGCCGTGAAATACAAATAGAACAGGTTGTGTAGAAGAGTATATATAATCACACGAGAACGTCACATGTTTAGGATATCTCTTGAATCCGAAATCATTATTAATAAGCCAAGGCACCACGCATGCCATCTGTATGCATCTACAACTCTTTAATTCAGAATTTTCTTTGCATACTTTGAGACTGAGCCTATGAGAGTTCATTGACATTTCCTCGGTTTCCTACCATTTAATTTATTTACTCATATTACAAATTTAGGCACTTTACTGAGAGGGAAGCTGCCGCGGTGCAATGGTTAGCATCGTGGACTTGCAATCCAGAGGTCGCCGGTTCGATGCAATTTCCCGGCACGGCGGTTGAAAACAAGGAGGCAAGTTTCTAAAATCCTCACGTCTGTACCCATCCGCTCGCTTTGTTTGCCTTGTCGCAGAGCTACCACCGCCCGTCGGCGTTCATCGTGACGCAGCACCCGCTGCCCAACACCGTCAAGGACTTTTGGCGTCTCGTGTTCGACTATCGCTGCACCTCGGTCATCGTGCTCAATGAGCTCAACGCCAGCGAGGTAACGCTCGGTCGTGGCTCGGTTGTTGCTCGGCTGTGGCTCGGTTGTGGCTCGGTTGTGTCGGCGGGCTGATGCTGACGCCAGTGGCATGAGCGAGTAATTGCAGGGCTGCACCTTTGTTTCCGTTCACCATGATCTTATTTTGCGAGGCGTGTCGCCGTGTCTCCAACCCGCAAAACCCCCGGGATTATCTCTGGCCCGGGGCGCCGGTGGCGTTGCGTGCGAGGGAGGGGGCGAACCTCCCTGAGGCCCCGTGGCCTCGTTCGCGAGATGTGTTTATCTGCTGCGGGGCGTCCACAATGTCTCCCTGTGACGGACACTAAACCGATTTCGCCAAATCCTCCCGCGGCCAGTGATTGATCGTTTAATATGGTGAGAATTTACATTAAACACAAGTTCATCTTGAAAATGTAAGTTTGAAGATGATGTTAATGTGGGCGCTTCGGGGAGGCAGTGGGTATGCATTGGTTAGCACATCGCGTTATGAACCCAGCTACTTGAGTTTGATTTTTGGTCACGGCTAATATCAGTGGCGAGTAAAATGTAAAATCTAAACCAGTTCAAAGCCCTCCCACCCCCTTCAAGAAATCCGCATTGACCAGCATGGTGAAATTTGGTCAAACAACCCCCATGACCAACATAGCAAGGCTGATAATGATAATGAATGTGATTATAATGATGATGAATGTGATTATAATGATGATGAATGTGATTATAATGATGATGAATGTGATTATAATGATGATGAATGTGATTATATGAAGATCACCAAAGTTGCTCTCATCACCGTCATTCAAGGTGGCATCCTGATCATCCATATCTGTGTTATCTTTCTCATCATCATCATCATCACCACCACCATCACATTCTTTCTGCACGCCACCATCATTGACATTTATCACAGAGCCACCACCAGAGCTGTCATCTTGCCCGTTACTCAGTCCCCGGGTGCACGGCGAGGCTGTGATAGCCCCACGATGTCAGGCCACACCCTGGCTACAATCCCAAAAGTTTGCATTGCATTTCGTCCTGCCAGTGGGGGGATCGTCATTCCCACGGAACCTTCTGCTCTCAAGTTCCCTATCGAGCCGTTCGGTTCACCGCAGCGTATTTAACAATGGCGCTAATGCCCTGTATCCACGCCTGGATTCCCTGCTGATCACTTACTACCCCTTCTAATCCTGGGAAGTCTTTCTTCACCCATTCCGCAAATGTGTCGATACCATCAATCTGTCCTGAGCTGCTGTTTCTATAATAGATCCCGCCGCTAATTGCTTTCTAATGCGTTCATTAATTATCCGGCCCCGACACTGCTTCCTGCCATTATTCCGAGTAGCATCGTGAACAACGACATCGCATCTGTGGGCTCCCCCTCCACCCGCCCCCCATACCCCCCCATCCGCCCCCCATACCCCTCCCACCTGCCTCCCATACCCCCCCACCTGCCCCCCATACCCCCCCACCTGCCCCCCATACCCCCACCTGCCCCCCATATCCCTCCCACCTGCCCCCCCATACCCTCCCACCTGCCCCCCATACCCCTCCCACCTGCCCCCCATACCCCCCCACCTGACCCCCATACCCCCCACCTGCCCCTCATACCCTTCCCACCCGCCCCCATACCCCTCCACCTACCCCCCATACCCCCCCACCTGCCCCCTACTGTCAAACTCGCCGCCACTTGAAAGCCTCTCGCCTACGCACAACGCGCGCAATTGAAACATTTGAAACATGCCTTTTAAATTATGTGGCTGCCATAAATTTCCACGTGATAAGCCACTTAGTTGAGCTATTAGTGGCCAAGTTGCTACTGAAAAGCAAGCTAATATCTCTGTATTTTTTTCCAAGTGATTTGCTAACCCTTCCGATACTTTGCACTTCTATCGTGTTTCTGTATTGTTTGTTGTTGTAGCGTTCTGACCCACCCCTACTGGACATTTGTGAAAAAGAGCGTTATAGCTAATGGGATTCCACCAGTATACATAAATATGCTAATTCTGTTACCTGGCTTGCGAGTCACCGCGGTGTGGTAAAATAGGACGCGGTTTCACCAATCCCACACTGTCACCGGCGTGGTGGGTTAAAAAAGCGAGCTAGAGTGAGAAGCCAGATACAAGCACACCTCATGTAAGCACAACTCTAATACAGGCGACACACGCTGACATGACGATGATGTGCAAGGCGAAGGGCAACTTCTGATACAAGCACACGTGGATATAAGCGCACATGGCCCTTGCTCCTTAGGGGTGTGCTTGTATACAGCTTCTGCCCTCTTGGTTAATCGCTTTAGCGATGAGAGCGATATTTGCAATATCTGCGTGTGTGTTTAAAAAATCGCTATATTATTTGTTTACGTAAATTCACTTACTTTTTCATTTGGCTTCTGTAGCCTCAAATATTGGAGCGTCACTGCAAGGAGAAGTTGATTATATGCGCGCAAGAGGCTTTCAAATGAGATGCACAGTAGTAACTCGTAGTGCGTTTGTGTCCGGAGACAAACTCTGGTGATCTCGCGGCTGAATGAACGATCCACGGAGGACCCTCATGGCTTTGCATGATGACACCCCGTGGACTGAGAGGCCCCGTGTAGCTCTCCCTGCAGAGTGAGAGGTGTCTTGTTAGCTCTCCTGGTAGAGTGAGAGGTGTCCTGGTAGCTCTCCTGGTAGAATGAGAGGTGCCTTGGTAGCTCTCGTGACAGAGTGAGAGGTGTCCTGGTAGCTCTCCTGGTAGAGTGAGAGGTGTCCTGGTAGCTCTCCTAACAGAGTGAGAGGTGCCCTGGTAGCTCTCCTGGTAGAGTGAGAGGTGTCCTGGTAGCTCTCCTGGTAGAGTGAGAGGTGTCCTGGTAGCTCTCCTGGTAGAGTGAGAGGTGCCCTGGTAGCTCTCCTGGTAGAGTGAGAGGCCCCGTGTAGCTCTCCTGGTTGAGTGAGAGGTGCCCTGGTAGCTCTCCTGGTAGAGTGAGAGGTGTCCTGGTAGCTCTCCTGGTCTAGTGAGAGGTGTCCTGGTAGCTCTCCTGGTAGAGTGAGAGGTGTCCTGGTAGCTCTCCTGGTAGAGTGAGAGGTGCCCTGGTAGCTCTCCTGGTAGAGTGAGAGGTGTCCTGGTAGCTCTCCTGACAGAGTGAGAGGTGCCCTGGTAGCTCTCCTGGTAGAGTGAGAGGTGTCCTGGTAGCTCTCCTGACAGAGTGAGAGGTGTCCTGGTAGCTCTCCTGACAGAGTGAGAGGTGTCCTGGTAGCTCTCCTGACAGAGTGAGAGGTGCCCTGGTAGCTCTCCTGACAGAGTGAGAGGTGTCCTGGTAGCTCTCCTGACAGAGTGAGAGGTGTCCTGGTAGCTCTCCTGGTAGAGTGAGAGGTGCCCTGGTAGCTCTCCTGGTAGAGTGAGAGGTGCCCTGGTAGCTCTCCTGGTAGAGTGAGAGGTGTCCTGGTAGCTCTCCTGGTCCAGTGAGAGGTGTCCTGGTAGCTCTCCTGGTAGAGTGAGATGTGCCCTGGTAGCTCTCCTGGTAGAGTGAGGGGTGCCCTGGTAGCTCTCCTGGTAGAGTGAGAGGTGTCCTGGTAGCTCTCCTGACAGAGTGAGAGGTGTCCTGGTAGCTCTCCTGGTAGAGTGAGAGGTGTCCTGGTAGCTCTCCTGGTAGAGTGAGAGGTGTCCTGGTAGCTGTCCTGATAGAGTGAGAGGTGCCCTGGTAGCTCTCCTGGCAGAGTGAGGGGTGCCCTGGTAGCTCTCCTGGTAGAGTGAGAGGTGTCCTGGTAGTTCTCCTGACAGAATGAGAGGTGCCCTGGTACTTCTCCTGGTCTAGTAAGAGGTGTCCTGGTAGCTCTCCTGGTAGAGTGAGAGGTGTCCTGGTAGCTCTCCTGAGAGAGTGAGAGTTGCCCTGGTAGCTCTCCAGGTAGAGTGAGAGGTGTCCTGGTAGCTCTCCTGGTAGAATGAGAGGTGTCCTGGTAGCTCTCCTGGTAGAGTGAGAGGTGTCCTGGTAGCCCTCCTGGTAGAGTGAGAGGTGCCCTGGTAGCTCTCCTGGTAGAGTGAGAGGTGTCCTGGTAGCTCTCCTGGTCTAGTGAGAGGTGCCCTGGTAGCTCTCCTGGTAGAGTGAGAGGTGCCCTGGTAGCTCTCCTGGTCTGGTGAGAGGTGTCCTGGTAGCTCTCCTGGTAGAGTGAGAGGTGCCCTGGTAGCTCTCCTGGTCTGGTGAGAGGTGCCCTGGTAGCTTTCCTGGTAGAGTGAGAGGTGCCCTGGTAGCTCTCCTGACAGAGTGAGAGGTGCCCTGGTAGCTCTCCTGGTAGAGTGAGAGGTGTCCTGGTAGCTCTCCTGGTAGAGTGAGAGGTGCCCTGGTAGCTCTCCTGGTAGAGTGAGAGGTGTCCTGGTAGCTCTCCTGACAGAGTGAGAGGTGCCCTGGTAGCTCTCCTGGTAGAGTGAGATGTGCCCTGGTAGCCCTCCTGGTAGAGTGAGAGGTGTCCTGGTAGCTCTCCTGGTAGAGTGAGAGGTGTCCTGGTAGCTCTCCTGGTAGAGTGAGAGGTGTCCTGGTAGCTCTCCTGACAGGGTGAGACGTGTCCTGGTAGACCTCCTGGTAGAGTGAGAGGTGTCCTGGTAGCTCTCCTGGTAGAGTGAGAGGTGCCCTGGTAGCCCTCCTGGTAGAGTGAGAGGTGTCCTGGTAGCTCTCCTGGCAGAGTGAGAGGTGTCCTGGTAGCCCTCCTGGTAGAGTGAGAGGTGTCCTGGTAGCTCTCCTGACAGAGTGAGAGGTGCCCTGGTAGCCCTCCTGGTAGAGTGAGAGGTGTCCTGGTAGCTCTCTGCCACATATTTTCCAATCGTGCCGTTTGTTGTACAGCACGATGTCCAACATTTGGCTCCACGTGCCGAAAGTGAACTCCATATTGGGTTCCTGACGAAGTTCCTCCAGTTTTTTTATTTCTTAAACCACAGGAGAATTCTCAGAGACCAGGATATTGTTGCTCATTTGCAAAGGTGACCTGGGTCATCACAGTAACCAATGGGGGGTGGGGGGGAAACTGAAACATGAC